TAGATCAATTGAATTTAACATTAGAAATCATTAATAAATCAATTGGAAATTGGAATAGACAAAATTACAAGTTTTAATGCAAAACATAATGAAATAGAATTAAATAAGAAATAGATTGAAATTAAATTAGAACTAAATAAATAGTATTAAATCAACATCCATTGTTCAAATTGAAATTTACCTAGACCCAAGGTAGAATTGAATTAAAGATATTTAACCTAGGAATTAAATAATAGAACAATATTGATATAGAATTAGGTTACAAATAATTCAATTTAATGAAAATTGCAAATTCAATTTGAATTCCAATAAATAGAATGCAAATATATTCTATTTAGAATTAAATTGGAAATATATTGCAAATTCATTGAATTACAATTTGATTATAATGAATTTAAAAAATGCATAAACTTAATTTAGAATTTAATTAGGTTCAAATTAGAACTAAAAAAGAAGCCTATTACATATTCAAAACAAATTCAATTTAAAATTAATTAGATCCGATTAAATTATCAATAAAACTAGAAATGAAACAAATTCAATTAGAATAAATATTGGTTTAGAATTTAGTTAAATTGTAGTTAAGTCAAAATTCATAGAATTAAATTAGAATTGAGTTAATAACTATTTAGAAATGAATAAGAAATAGTGTTTATTTTTTTTAGCAGACCAGCCAAAAAAAATTAGACCCATGGAGAGGGACCCAGGAGAGATTGGGCAGGAGACATGGGTCCAACAAGTTCAGACTCATGGAGGGGGACCCACAAAAGGCTAGACAGGAGACACGAGTCTGAGTTTTATATTTTTTTGTTTTTGTATTTTTTTTGGTAGACCAACGAAAATACAAAAAAAATCAGACCCATGGAGAGGGAACCAAGAAAACCAAAAAAAACAAGAAAACCAAAAAAAACAAAAAAACAAAAAAAAAACGACATCTATTCCTCAGACAAACATTGGTCTATTTTTTTTTTTTTGTTTTCTTGTTTTTTTTGGTTTTCTTGGTTTTCTTGTCCTTTTTGTTTTTTTGGTTTTCTTGGTTTTCTTGTCCTTTTTGTTTTTTTTGGTTTTCTTGGTTTCACAGGCATTGCAATCTTGTTTTTGTTTTTTGGTTTGCATGTGTCTTTCGGCCTTTTCACACAATGTAAGAGACAGATGCAGTGAGAGACAAATACTTTAAATATTGCAAATTTGCGCAAAAAAGGCGCACTCCCGTGGTGGCCTGTTCTGAAAAAAAAAGCCAGCTGAAGAGCTCTCCCCATGAATGAGGTCCACGCCGCTGCGCACTGACGTCCGCCGTGTGGACAGCGCGTGGGCCGGGCATCCGGGCCACTTCCTCGCCCCCCGGCTGCTGGCAACACGCGGCCCCCCGAGGAAGGAAAGCCGGTGACTCGACCATTCAGTGGAGGGCACCTATAGCGACCTGGAGTTTGAGTTCATGGTCGTGCAAGCCGAGGAGTGGTACTGGAACGTAAGATGAAGCAGGCCAAGCTGGCAAGATAGCACAAAAGAATCGTCGAAAAGAATTAGATATACAAGAAGCGTGTTCCAAAGCAACAATTGGACTGGTAGCGTTTGGTCAAGGTTCTGCTGGCACTTTTCCCAACCTCCTCACCACCCAGACTCGGGAGATACATATAATATTGCAGCTGTTCACCTCAGCGATCCACATTGAACATGACCAGGATGTTCCGAGTTTGCTTGCTTCCGTTGCACCAGGAGCCCCAGAACCCCCATGTTCAGGATGAAGTCGCCTAGTTTGGCTTCTCCCTGAAACTACCCGCCAGAGCGAGCCTTTCTGGGGGGATTGGCCCCCCGAGTCGCCAGCCGCTGAAGAGCCGCTATTTTCTGCTCCGAACCACCGAATAGTGGCTGAAACAGATGAAGGGGGAAGGGTGAATGATCTATAATATAGGCTCATGGGATCCAGAAGGCTTCTGGGATCCAAATCTAGGAGTCTTCACATGCCCATTGCTTTGTAGGTTCAATGATTTTGACCCCACCGGAGACAGCAGTTGACCCCATAATTTACTCGCACATCGTACATTGGCAACTTGTTTCTTGCCAATGGCATTCCCTCCACCCACCGCTCGACCACAAAAACTCAGACTTTCGCTCCGCTGGTTTCGAAGAGCACGTCGCGCAAGTTGAGGAGTGTACTGGTCACTGGTCCAAACACGATGCATGCCCCGTATGCAGTACCAGCTGATTGAGAAGGTAGATGTGCCCCGCAAAATGCCGGAATGGAGCCAAACCTCCTTGTCATTGGAGTGGAAGCCATCCAGATTGTAGATGTGGGCACATTGCGCAGTAAAAAATGTGTTTATGGATCCCAGGCGATCCTTCTAGTCAGTCACAGCTGCACCTCCTGGAAGATGTTAGTCCTTAAGGCTGAGCCGAGTGCTATGTGTACAGTGTACAACAGTGGATGCAAATGACGGGTCATGCTTGCAATTGCTTCTTCAGCATCAGCCCCACCATGGAATATCATGGAATTGTTTTTGAGAAGAGATTAGATTATGCAACACTGCAATACTGATAATTACTGTAGGGATTATTGAGACGTTTGGCAAACACCTTGGACCTATGACTACATCATGTTACATCCTCACACCGGTGGCGGCGGCCACCATACCAATGCCGTGGCTTGCCACAAAGAAAAAGTGCTCTCTGTGCGCAGCTCATGGTGGACGTTTTGTTAGCTACCCCTAAATGACAAACGTCACTTACCCAGACACTATGTCAGTATGTATGGCATAGAATGCCTAGATTGACCCCCTCAAACTACCCCAATGTAGGTGAGTATTCCATACATCAGTGTTTGGATGTGCTTGCCCAAAGGGCAGGAGCAGTCATCTAGCTTCACTGGTGGGTCATGGAGCTACGCTGGCAAAGTGGCTCACAGTTTTCCAAGACCGGCTGAAACGAAACGACGAAGCGCTGCTATCCACTGCTAATTCGTTTTCATCCACTGGAGCTGTGCGTGGGGAGATGCACTTCTGAGGTTCTTTTCATCGATTCAGGGCATGTGTTCTTGGCAGAATCTCTAGGGAATCTGCAGAATCCTTCAGGACATTGTGTGGTCCACCAGACCAGACGTGTTCTCTTCGACGTGCTTCACGACCAGACCAGACCAACCCTCCACGTTCACCAGTCGACGACCCTTTGAAGCTCCCAACGAAGAAGGGCTCGAGTGACCCTCGAATCACTGTCCGCATCGAGGAATGGGTGCCTTCATCCGACAAGCTAAATGGATGTGTGTTCAAAGCAAAGGATCCCCAATCTGCAAGAATGACGGGTTGTGCTCCTGGACTAGCGCTATTCAATGGAACTCACTTTCCACTGCAAAGTCTGGGTTTCCTGGATCTTGTGCTCGTTATTTCTATTTTTGTGAGATCGTCTACTTCCTGTGCACTCAGGCCTTCCCGTGCAGATGAGCTTGTGCTCCAAGTCGGCCAGACCCATAGTTCTCGAACACAAGGAGGCTACGTCTTAGACTTTTGAATGTCTCATCCCAGCTGGTTGCACATGTTCCCTCCCTTTGACACTGAAGCTGAGGAAAAAACAACACAAAACAACAAAGCAACTCTTGAAGGCAAGTCTTTCTCTTCTAGGAGGGCCGACTGCATGCATGTATGTATGTATGTATGTATGTATGTATGTATGTATATATAGATAGATAGATAGATAGATCCAAGGCGATGGTCTTTATCTATGTGCACTCGTGCTAAAAAGAAACAAATCACCAGAAACCACCACTTCTCCAAGGTCCAGGACGTTAGTTGTTAGAGTTAGCATGCTTTACTTTGCATACAAGAACATCCAAACCAGCTTGTACCTTCAAGAGAGGACATGAATCGGAACCAGGTGTGGGCGGCATCCCTCCAAGATAGTCCAGACAGTCAAAGTCTTTAGGGTGAATTTGGTGTCCCAAGTGACAAGTTACGACAACCCCCCTTTTTCTTTTCAGGAAGCAGCTAGTTGTATATAGATGTTTGTGCTTGTTTGGGCCTCAAAAAGGTGCAAATCGGTGGCAGACTCTGCGGCCTCTGACGGCCTCAGACGGCCTCGGTGGCACTCTGCGTTTTCCTCGTTGAGTGTCCACCCTCTTCGGTGCCCCTAGGATCACCATGAAGGTCGTGGCATGCCCAGCTCGTGCCCAGGTTCAGTTGCTGGGAGTTCTGTCCGGGCCTCAGGAACTCCTGCGAAGCCGAGCTCGAGACCGGGAGACAGAGCACCAGACGGATTGGATGTGAGAGTTGATGGGAATCTCCACTCCTGGTGAGGACCTATTCATGTCTTGGTCCCGACCGAGTTTCCGACGTTTTGTATGTTCAATAAGGACCTCAGAGTCCACACTTGGATCTCAGAGTTATCCAATAAGGTCAAATCACTTGGATGTTCAATTCACTTGTCCGTCTGGATGCTGGATGCTGGATGCTGGACCAACGCTTGGAAGGTCATCGGTACCTTTCCGAAACGAGCACATGAGCTTTGGTAGTCGCTGGTCAGTAAGACTGGTGGAAGAAAACACTCCCCACCTTGGCAGTTCATCACATGGGGTTGGACTTATGTTTACCGCACTGTTTGTCAGATTCCAGCTCCTATGTACCAGTTGGAGATCAAGGTCAGTCAATGTTTTGCCAATCTTGTGCATCTCTTATGGGCCAAGTCAACAGCAGCCCATGTCGAGTCGGGTGTTTTGGTGGGTCTGAGAAGAGGATCTTGCCAGCATCGCTTGCTCGACCAGGCACCTCATGCGAAGACGGCAAGCTGTTGAGTTGAAGGAAGGAGGAACTCAGTTAAGTTTATTCAACCAACTCGCTCGACATTAGAGCTTGTAGTTGAGCATGATGAAATGACCAAATGAGCCTGGAGAATAGTTCAATTAATTAAGCATAAAGAGGTGATTCAGCTATCTTCAACCAATGCTTCCGAAAGGGGACAACTCTCTTCCAGATACCTGACCGCCCTTTGAGGTTGAGGCCTTTCCACCAGGGTCATGCTTTAACTATCTCGTGATTTGCCACCCGTCGACCTCCATGGCTACACCGCCCATGGGCTACACCGCCGCTCCCTAGCGATGGGCAGGGCGCCCAGTGCTTCGGCACCGGGCGAGGCGCGCGAGGCGGGTGATGCGCCGAGCGCTTTGCAGCTGCGGGCGGAAGCGGTGGCGCAGTGCTTGGAGCAGGGGAGCATTTACGAGGGAGAACTTGGATTCTCCGCTGAATGGACGTGTGATGATGCCATGTGGTTTTATGTAGGAGAGGCGGACAATGACGAATGTGAGGAGTGGATTCTTACTTGGCCAGACCTGAGACCGAGAGACTCCAGTGGATACCCTACAATACCACTGCAGACTCAAGAAGATCCTGTTCGCGAGGTCCTTTTGCATTGCATGTGCCGGAGAGTGCAAGCTAAAACAGGTTCTACATCTCAAGCAGCCCCCCAAGTCCGCCAATAGATTGAGACGTCAACGGCGATTCCTTCAGCTTCCGATCCATTTTTTGGACCCCTCTAATAGATCTATAGTAGCTACGCGACCCAATCAATGTGCCACGGAGAGTTTGGGGTGGAACGCATCCAACCCATGTATCTTTACATGTCTTTTTACCTTCGCCGAGGATTGGAAGTGACTTGCCTGCGACGTGCCATTTCCGGTGGGGGGGGGGCTGGCAGTTCCAACCCATTGAGAGTAGATGGCACGGTCGCAGGGTGCCCCCCCCAGTTCGGTGGTTTGTATGGACCTCTATTTGTCTAAGACATCTTGGGGTGCCAGTGCCATCGAACCTCTGAAACGGTATACATGGGCATTTGAGGTCCATAGGATCCATGTTTGGTCAGCCATACCCGCACTCAGAGGTGGTATGGGTTGTTTCGCCGGGTGTCAGGGAACAGTTCTGGAACGGAACACAGATAGAGAAAGCAAGGGTCAAGGGTTGGCACATGTTTGCACCAAGCGTGGAGCATGTGTTGTCAATTTGTTCCAACCTGATTCGCGCAACGGTAAAGCGCAAGACACATACACAGTATACAGACACATCCTAGACTCTAGATAGCCTGTGTTGGAGGTTGTATCCTGTTCAATTTGTCGTGGGTTGTCACCTTTCATTGCATCCGCGAGTGGTCCAGAACAACATGTCCACTGCACATAACAGACATAATAACACATGCAACTGTTCTTTGAAAGCAGCTGGGGGAAAGAAGGCGCAGGAAGATTACCAAGAGTTTGAGTGGCTGTCATCCAAGCAGTGGCTCCAATAACAACTGTATTGCGAGTTCGGCACACGCTGAGTTCGGCCCAGAACAGGCTCCAAGTGCCACCAGGCTGTGAGGCGAACGAGCCTCGCAGGAACGACATTCCCCAGTTTTTCCACCAGCCACCGCCTTCCATCGAGGAGTGTTTGAAGCTCTTGGAGAAGCAGGGAGAGGTATGGCACTCCGCAGCTTACTGTTTTCGCGTCGTTCTGTTGTGGCGCACTATTCTTCAGAAACGCCAATTCAACTAAAACTATCAAAAACTGTTTGTCATTTGGCTTGAACCGGCATGGCGTGCCTGTAGCTGATATCTTCTAGCTTATATAAGACACCCTTTGACCATAATTAGGAAGATAGACGCCTTTTTCCCACTGTTTTCTTGTTTCTCAACTTCACCGGCATAGACATTGGTCTGACATTGTGATTGTAGAGAGAAAGTCCAAGAGGACAAGCAAGAAAACACCAACGGCACATACACTGCAACTGTTCTTTTGGTGGCAGTCATATGGATCAACTCAAGGGCTCTGACTCTTGTAGCCAATCCCGGGGTCATGTTTGAGTTGAACACAAAAATAGAAGTCCAGCAAGCCTGGACCTGGACACAAAACGGAATCTGAAGCCAAGAGCTTGCGTTGCCAATCTGAGTCAATCAACGGTGAACACGCTACCAAAGTTTCCTGTCCAATGGCTATAGAGACATGCCCAAACCAAGGAACAATACACCAAACAGACGACTTTAAGGCAAAGGATGTTTGACATTCCGCAATCGCCCTGCCGTAGACAAACCCAGAGACGACCTGTGCAAGGTTGTACCCAAACCAACACGCAACCAACCAACTGTAACCCACCAACTTACGCAGAGCCAACCTCCCACGTCCACCCAGACAAACAAACATGAAACAGCCGACCAAAACACCATGCCTGCAAAACGCCGCTCTGTCACCGTGCCAGACCGATTGCGCCCCATCGACCAAAACACTGGCCCCATTGCCGACCCCAAAAGCCCGACCCCAAGGTTCATAGCTTGTTTCGAGCAAGCATGGAGTCCAATTTCCTTCCACTTGATGGTCATTTCATCGCAGGGCGATCTCATTGATTTTCGGGTTCTTTAGCCCTTGCAATTCCTGCCAACTGCCACCCACCCCCGTCTTGAGGACTTTGTGTCGTCTTCGCCCATGATTTCCTTTTACAGTTGTTCAATGTTGTTCAGGTTTACACCAACAAAAGGAGGTGAACCTGGTTAAACAAATCGAAGACAAGCCGTTAATGATCAGATAGGCACAGCGATTGAGACGTGGCACACCAGTGAACAGGCAGCACATGGCAGCACTAACACACGGACATACGATATACAATCGTTTGTTGCAGGTTTGAGATGGACCTATCCCCCAGAGATCCCAGATGAACGATCTCAGAGCAGAAACCCCTATCGGCCGTGTGATGCTTTCTGGTGCTGAAAGCATCCATTCCGATGTCCCAAAACTGATGTGGGCTGGAAGTTCTTTCCAACACACTTGGATGGCCCTATTTGGACCTCCATTTATGCTAGGGTTCGTATTAACTACTTTCAATGAACTTCAGATGAAAAGAAAGCGATCAGTTCGTACATCAAGTTGGTCGATCTAGTATATTGTTTGAGATTTGTAGGTGCTTTCGGAGCCACCATGGCCAAACTGGGGTTGCAACTCGTACGGTAAGTTGGCGCAATCCAAGCGCAATCTTGCACAACCTGGACGGATGCAATTTCAAAAAGCTGTCCCAAAGTCAATTTCTGCATATTTGAAGAGAGGGTATACTTTTGGGGGAGTCGTTCCACCATTTTGTGAATTGATTTATGTCCCAAGTCGGGACACCTGGTCCTTCGGTCCCTTGGATTGGAGGCCTTTCTCACCATGCCCTGCTTACATCGGCTTGCAGGAGTCATTAGAAATGCCTGAGCTTCTCTCCTTGAGCAGCGCGCTGACCAGCCGGGATGTCAAGTGGGGGGGGTGCTGAGGAGAGACGAAGCGGACCAAGGGTGGGTTTGATGGCGAAGAGGCGTTGGGTCGACCAGTTCGGACTAAGTATGATCAACATAGATCAAGAGGTCCTTGAATAGATGGACCCGATGGAGGGCGGAGGGGATTTAGATTGTATTTTTCACAAATATATTAAGCGTTTACAAGCGATGCTGCTGTGGTAATTTCCCTTTCCCCGGGAAGAAAACCCCTGGCGTTCCGGATATTGTATGGATCACCTTCTAAAAGGACCATGTGTTTGGTAATGGCGGCGCACCAGCAAATTAACAGCTGGACGTGCATGCCTGAGAAACCTGAAGATGCAAACAAGTGATCGGGAAACTCCCTGTAGCTGCGAGAACACTTGGGCTGCAATCTTGCATGATGCTGCATGTGGAAGCAGTGTGCACGCCCAGGAGTTTTGCTCGATTCAAATCACGCGTCACCTAACGAGTGCCTGTAACTCCTATATATGGATGTCCCAACCATCGAAACATATCGAAACCGGATTGACTTGGCACCGGGATGGCTCTCCCAGTCATCCCTTGGTCCGGTTCCGGTGCCGATCGCACCGATCGCGATCGCCTCCAGGTGCCTTCCACACGGCACCGGCGCTGGCCGTGCCGTCGCCCGGCGCGGCCGGTGCCACCCTGGGCTTCCGTGTGTCCGCACTGGTGGGATGGCTCGCCAAGCACGCCCAGGAGCAGGAACTGCCGCGCGGCCTGGGTGGAGTACTATATATGACTGCCAGGTGGTGACGAAGCAACCGTTTGACATCGTTGCAGAATATATAGCATGAACCTTTTTCAAAGCTTTCTATAGAACGGATTGGTTACTTTCTTGAGTGGGGGTATCCATTTCTTTTGTTGGAGGTTGTATGGATTTCAAGCTGTGGGTCCAGTGGGTCCCCACACATTGGCATCCGGTCTCACCCCTTCGATGATGGACTGACAGACCGCGGCTCACAGCTTAGCAAAAAGGTGGAGCACACCTTTGTTGGACCATTTGCAGCTCTATGGCCGGCTCATCTCCAGTGTGCCTTGGCTGAACTGGGCGTGAAAAAGGGGTGGGAGATGGTGTGGAAGTGGAATATAGGGGATTGGAGCAGTGCAGGGTGGCCATGGCCGGCCTCAAAGATCGCAGTGGATTGGGCTGTGTTTGCGGAGAAGAACACCCTCCTCCGGAGACTGGATTCATCTCCCAGTCACTTCCAGCGGCCGAGGAAGGCTAACCATCCCATCCGCTCGGCCCATTGGTCCGGTCGAAGGGGTCGGGAACCACAAGGTCTGGGATGGGACGACGTGCGGCGCACATCCACTCATCATCCGCTATGGGCAATGGCCTGGCCCTGCCATATACAGGAAACACCTTATACACAATGATATCCTAGGGATCCAGTCGTACCGAACCTCAGAAGGTGCGACTGGACCCTTCAAACCTACATAAGAATGTCTCCAATCACCTTAGAGGGTATGTGGATCCCTAGTGGTTGATGCATGTTGTTCATGGCGCGGAACTGGACAGGTTCGGAAATCACTGGTGGACGGTCTGCTGACCGCTCTGCCCGCCTTTCCGCCTTGTGTTGGGTAGCCGGTCGCATAAAGGACACTTGTAGCTACTTTTCTCTACTCGTCTCGTATCTACTAGGGTCTACTTATGCTGATTCCTTGTGAAATCAAAAGGGAAAGCGGCCACTTAGACGGACACTTAGAGGACCCAGGACCGGCTTGCTTTGGGCAGTTCTTTTTCCCCCAGGACCTTCTGACAGGTCCTTGTTCCATCAAAAATGATCCCGAAGAACAAGAATGGTAGGTATTGCCGCTTGCCCCTTGGATTCATGTAGACTGTTGATTAGTAAAACCCCTCCATTTGGACTGTAAAACCTCTTCTTCATGGGGGAGTCTATTCATCAAGAGTCTGGACTACTAGTGCTTCGGCGTATGTTTCTGTCGCTTGCAACACTTGTTTTGGCCAACAAGGCGTGGACTGAGGGTGGGCCTTTGCTCAGCCAACCGTTGGACAACAACCGCTTTGTCGTGCTGCTAGCAGAGATCATGTGCCAAGTGGGCCCTTTGGTTGCGAGATATTGTTTAGGCCCCTGGCCTTGACCAAGAGCATTAGGAGGAAACATGTGTCCAGCTGTCCAACCAATAGATCAGCTGGACAGCAACGCTGATTGTCGTAACGATGAGATGATTTCGTTTTTTTGATTTGTCAAGTGGTGCCAGGTTGATTCCTTCCCTTGGGGTTGTGGAATCCTTCATGAATGGCCCTTGACTTAGGCAGACGGTGGATACCACCAGTCCCTCCTTCAAAGAGTGTCGGGCGGAATAGTGGACCAATCTGCAGGAGTTGAGTATTTCGGGATGTCACCAATATGATCCAATATGCAAATAGATCAAGAACTGTGGAATTGTTCGCAAGATACTTCGATGTATATAATTTGTAATTGATGAGTGTATTTACCTGTGTCCCGAGTTTAGGATACCGAACTGCACCCCGACACAGACGGCACGTTTTTTCAGCTGCTTGGTCGTTCTTCGTGTCTGAAAATGGTTCACTCCCTGAAAATGGCCCATGGAATGACCATGTTCCTCTACAAATCGTGACAGTGTCCACTTCCATGGCGAAACTGTTAGAAACGCATCCTCTTGCGAAACTGTTAGGGGCTCAATGGAGGGTAAAAGAACCTGTCCTTCCGGTAGACAACCTCGGATCCTCAGACCTTCACGTCAGTGTTTGGAACGCACCTCAACGGCGCATTCTTCGCACACTTGCCTCAGGTGAGCTTGAGCCTTTGCAACGGCAACACTGGACTGAGCTTGGTGCACGCTGCGGCTTGACAGCAGCGAGCAAGGCAGACAGGGTGAACCTGGAAGGAACTTCTGCGGAAAGGACCATGCGGCCATGCATGCTTTGGATGGTTGCAAGTCAGGGTCTGGAGCCGGTTCTAGCTGGGTACTGATGTACTGACAACCGGAGATTCTCGGGGCGGTCAGCCTTTACCACCCCAAATCAAGTTAGCGAGTGGAGTCCCCGAGGGTCTTCTTCTTCGGAGGAGTTGTTTTGTTTTTTGGTTCACTACTACGGCCATGTTGGGGACATTACATATCCCTAGGGCTCCAACTACCTCCTGAGAAGGTGGTTGGGGTGGGTTTGGGGGGTCTAACCACCTTCTGAGGATGTGGGCCAGGAGCACTAGGGTGGGTTCCATTGCAGGTTTAACAAACCAATTGCGGCCTTACGTTTGGTAGTTGAACGCTTCATACACTCCCAGGGCCTGACCAGACCGAGACCGAGTGAGCGGGTGTCCTCGTTCGGCAGCTTCGCTGGCCTACCACGGCTTCGCGTGGAAGTAGGAAGACCAAACCCGCTAGCCGTGACCACCTGAACTAGCTGGGTAGGTGGGTGGGCTGGGGAGGTGAGCGAGACGTGACTGAGGATGTGTTTGGATTTGAGCATCCAAGATGCATACAACCAATTTCATCATGAATTCATTCCCATCAGGAACACCGAAAATCCAGGCGTCACTTGGGTCAATTGGTCACTTACTACCAGGCCTTCAGACACCTTCGGACTACAGGCTTGAACTTCTGACTGATGCGACTCGAAAGGAATGATAGGAATGAGGGTGGCGGGATCCTGAGGTATCATCGTGTGCGGCATCATCTCCTTACACTCCATGACCCAAAGACGTCATGGCTACGTGGATGGCCAACGGCCTGGAGTTCGGATAAACCATGTTCCGAAGACCATGGCCTGGGGGGGTGTTCCACTTTCATGAGGGTAGTAAGGGTAGTACACTCCCGATACTAAGCTCCAGTCTGGCTGCAAGAAGGGGTGACCTCTTGAGGCCTGGTCGCGGCCTCCGACTTTTGGCGAACACGCCTCTTGGGCGAAGAACGAAGGCCTGGCAGTTCCAGTTGATTGGTTGGGGCCAGGCATGAATGCTACAGCTGTAGTGCCAGCATCACACCCCACTCCGTCTCCCGGGTAATTTGTTACATCAGGTTTGCGAACTTGTTCCATGGGTCACATGGCATCCAAGCCTGCAAGGATGGATCTAGTCGAATCTTTGTCAGAGCATTTGCGCTGTGAAGAGGATACGTACCGGTGGTCATACATTTGAGTTTGCATCTGAGGTGACATTTGTGTTCCTTAACCCAGAGTTCCAACGACGTCCTTATTCACAGCTTAATACGCCTCACAAACCAAGCCTGGCAAACATGCTTCATGAAGAAAGTAGGTGGGCAGGGGACTAGATCCAAAGTGCTGCACAAACTATCCCCCATAAATTTGACCTGGGAACATTTGTTTTTGTTCAAAAAAATAATAGCGCCCTACCCCAGCACCCCGCGCCTTTCAAGTTGATTGGTGATTATTCTGAATGTTTCCCCTTAAGATCCTATTATCCTATAAGTAACTTATAGTTAAAGCTCGTCTATGGATCATTTTGGAGCTTCCTTCCACCCGCTGCTGAGGCTACTTTGGGCTGCATTTACGCGGCCTCCTCACCATCAGCCGCTCGGCTTCTGTCCCGTCAGATCCCATCAGCTCCCAGCTAAACCCTGGGGCTCCCACTTCTTCCTGGAAAAGGTTTAAACAAATTTTAGAACCCCCCCAAGCCCCAGAAGTGATGTTCGGGCAGAAGTGATGTTCGGTGAAAGCGTTTGGACCGGGCTTTGCTTTTCCCAGAGTTGTCCCTTTCCAGGGAACCTATCATGTTCCAAACCCTTGAGCAGAAATTACCGTTGGCACGTCCTCCAGAACGGCATGCGGATGCCAGAGTGTTGTTTTGGTGTAGGTTATCGGCACCCTCCTATTCCTGTCAAAACTATAAGTTTGGGCTGACTCCGCAAGAAGGTCAGTTCCATGATCTTCGAGCATATCCATTCCTTCTTAGAGCCATCAGAGGTTTCATCCGACCTCTCCAAAGACACATGACGACCTGAATCCGTGATGACTCTTCCAAACTCGAGACAATAGCCATGAGGAAGAACTATTGCCTGCCACCTTTGTAATGACATGTCTTGCCCACGGTTTGGTCCGGCTTTGGTCCTCGCTTTGCTTCTCTCTTCGCCGAGGCCGGCATGCCGCCAAGTCCACTCACCAGCGCTTGGCTACAGCGCTGGTGAGCGCCTGCGCGGCGGAGATGGAGCTGGAGGGTGGAGGCAGCAGGGATTCAAGAGAAGACCCCATGGTACTCACATGATGGCACACACACACACAGGTGCACGCAGGTTGTAATTTGTGGTAGCTGAATTTGGGCCAGGAGGACCTAATGTCTCAAAAGTGGTTTGGTGATATGGGTGTATTTGCTGTTGCTATTGAGTTTGGGTGATGCCCTTTGACCCCGGCATGTTGTTTGTTTGCTCCCTCACTTCAAAGGGATCCTGTTGGAAACACCGTTGAAGGCGGAGCACCGTTACCCGTTGCCCCATTGATGGGCCGGATGTGACTCTTCCAGTCCCATGGGTTTGGGATTTGTAGTTCACAGGACTTAGGGAATCACACGAAGTACGGCACTTGTGGTGACGGTCTTAGTGGGGTACCCCATGTCTGTCAAAAAAAGTGCCAGAGGCGGGATTCATCAAAGTGTGATTCCCTATAAGAATCCATTTCTACGAGCCTTCATTCAGAGACCGGCATCTCCATGGCCGCCATGGAACCGTGGAACGAAGCCATGGATCCCGAAGGAGGGCTGGCCCATTCTCAGAGGCAGGTATATGGGTTGTACGCTCGGCTGAATGCTTTCGGATTAGAAGCAGGTATGGCCCATTGCATGATTTTAAATCAACGAGTGCATAATATATAAGTATATCTCAATCGCAATGGTGGCAACCGAAGTCCACAAAGCGTCCAAGCGCACAAAAGAAAGCTCTTTATGGCTGCGAGTGTCGAGGTCGTAACACGTGTGGATCAAGGGCCCTTCGGACAAATATGCGACGGCAGTCGCACATGGGAGAACATGACACCTCGTGACGGGTGTACAGCAAAATGCATTCGCATGTTGACACAGGCCAAAAAGTTTATTTTTCATGGCCTTCGAAAAACATTCAAAAGTTGGGCCCCTCTCATGACCGATTCAGGTCACTTCGAAAATCCCATGCTCCGCAGGCATGGTCTGGCAGGACATTTGCTGTCCTGGTTGGCAGCGTGGTGTCCTGGTCAAAACTCAGCTTCGTTTGGACCATCTTGTCCTTGATCTCACCTTTCTCATTCAGGAACTGAAGGCGGTTGATCCTCTCAAGGGATTCAATGCGAGCCCTCTGCCTCACAATGCGCTGATTGCAATCCGCAAGGAAGCAGATGTTGTCATTCCACATCCGGTGCCATTGACGCACCTGATCATCTGAGAAGCCTTGAGTTCGATCTGTTTTCAAAAGCTCTCGGAATTTCCGCCAGCGCTGGGTCGTGTAGCCCTCGGTGGTCAGGATGAGGCGTGTCTGATCATCCAAGACGCTGTTTTCATCATTCAAATCTCTCAACAACTTCCTCCAAGCGCTGGAGCTGGGTTCATCTTCAACTTCTTTGAGAAGCTTTTTCCATCGGTTGTACTCCTCATCTTCAAGCTCGCTATCAGAGTTGCAAGTCGAACTGCCGGTGTCGATGCCCGGTCGGTAGTCGATACCTGGTCGTCTGGAGAGGGCCAGGATTTGCTCCATCACCTCTTCACGATGTTGAGGCAAGGTGCAAGTTCGGTCATTGGTCTCGACCGTTTCTTCTTTTTCATTCACTTCATTCTTCTTCCACAGAACCATTGCCTTCTCGAGGAAGAGATTGTAGATCTTGTAGGTCATGTGCTCCAGGCCAATGCATGCAAAGAAAACCAAAACACCAACAGTGAGCCAAAAGCGAGTGCCCAGGTAGGACTCAGGGATGTGCTCATCGTTCTCGGTGGGGCTTCCTTCAACAACTGGCATTTCATTCGCAATCAAACAAGTCACAGCCGACATGGCTGCCGTTCTCCAAGCATCATGCCTTTGACCTTGTCGATGGGCATGGAGGTAGAAGTGGCGCCTGGAGCAGAACTTGTTCTTTGGATTGGAGGCATCACATGTTTTCTCACAACCAGGAAGGGCGCAAAGGTTGCCATCTTTCTCTTCAAGCGTGAAGATCTGGTTTTCGAAGATGTTTTTCGATGCCTCTTCATGTTCTTTTCTTTCAGCTTCTTTCTCCTCATAGGTGACCTTCTTGGCGGCGATGAAGTCCGGCTCAAAGCTCAGCTTGTGAGTTCCTCGGTTCAAGACATAGGCCAGGTTGTCTTTTGCTGCCGGCTTTGTCAAACCATCTGCTATTTGTTGCTGTGAGTTCACCCAAAACCATCGTCCATCAAGAGCTGACATTCGATCCTTCACTATCGCAACTTCGATTGCAGTGCGGCGTTCACTCAACTTCATGCCTGGGGTGATGCTTCGAGCAGCGTCAAACAAGGATCGAGCATCAGTGGCAAGTGGAGACGTGCCAAACTTCCTGAGGGCCTCAGTTGAACCAATGTCCAAGGTGGGGTCCACAACGCAAGCCATGAAGATCTTACTCCATTCAAGCTCGTCAACAGCTGCTGCGGCGGCCTGGGCTTCAGCAGACAAGGAAGACCTGCAAATGCGCTGCAACTTCTTGGACTGCCACTGGAGTATTGTCAGCGGCATTGGTTTCTCTGAGCTCAACTCTTCATGATTGCACAGGAAGACCAGCAGACCTCCCTGTGACGTTCCGTCAGGGCGAACTGCCCATGCAGCATCTGTGTATGCACCAATGCACAACGAAGAGATGTCGCCGTGGGCGTGGAAGGTCATCTTGTAGTCCTTGGTCACATTCTTTGCAAATCTCAACAGCTTGTTGGCCTCATTGATGTCCTTGATCATGGGGCTGCTGGATGCTGACTGCAAGATGCTGACACTGGCACACAGTTGCGGTACACATTGATGAGCTGGCCAGGCAAGTGCTCCTAGCAGTGCACGAAGTTGTTTGCGCTCTCTGTCAGTGCAAGCATCGTTGACCATTGTTTTCCGTGACTTCTCCAAGCAAATCGGCTTCACCTTCTGACAGTATTGCTCGAGGGAAATCTGGATGGTTTCGTGGTTCAAACTCTGGACCACATCGGCTCCACAGAACTTCACTCCCAAACTCGAGCCAAAATCCCAACTGCCAAACTTGAATCGCCGGGAAAGTTTTTGAAGGCGGCCAACAAAGGTGTTCTCATCATATTCGAACTCACCTGTGATGTCATTCAAAGTCGTGACACCTTCTCCAGCACCGATGAAGTCGTCCACGTGAAGGCCTAAAATGCCATCGACAATGCAATGCGTTCCGTTGTATTCGAAGACACAGAAGGGGTCATCACCATCGACAGCTTGTCGCAAAGAAAGATACACACAGCGGTCGAGTGGGTGTGCAATCAAGTTCAACTCATGCAACAAGTACTCGTTTGCTGTGTTGTTCCATTGCCGTGGTGCACGAACATCTCCAAAAGCTGGTTTGCAGGCTTTCATGATCTGCCATGGCTTGAGGTCAATCTTTTTCTCGAGCAAGCGACGCATGTCAGCGGAAGGTCGGATGTAGATTCTCGTTGTTGCATCAATGCTATCCGCCTGCATGAAGGCTGACTTCACATCGGCTGACCAAAGCTTCCATCGCTTGTGAGTTGCCATGACATAGACAGAGTGTCGGCCAAGCATGGACAGAGTTGGAGATTCCCGCTCAAGCTCTTCGTTGAGAACATCCTTGTGCTTGAAGCCTTGGATGATGACGCGAGCATTAACTTGTGGCCCTTCTTTTGTAGGCTTCCATCGTTGTAGAAACCTGGCTGGGATCACTTCACCATCACGGGCTTCGTCCTCATTGACAGGTCGCCAAGCATCATGATCAAACCAGACCTGCAAGGCTTTGCATCTCGCCTCCTCAAACAGCTGCTTTTCTGCAGGCGTGAGCTTCTTCTCGCTGAAGGCTTCAGCAACCAGGCTCTCATCGGCATTCATTTCATTGAAGCGGTTCTGGAAAGAGCGGTCATCCTCACCAACTGCAGGTAGGCCATCCAGAGTACGTGCATCGTTGTAGGACTTCAAAGCGCTCTGCCTCAAGTTCTCAAAAGAGGCTGCACGTTCATCTCTGGGGATTGGACTCCGCGATCTTGCCCTGCTTTCATTTCTCTCTTCTGCTGTTGCTGTGGTTCGTGTTTCTGCAGCGGCGGCTGTTTGTGTGTCTGCAGCTGCCGCAACGTGTGTGTGTGGTTCTGTATCTGCAGCGGCGGCTGTTTGTGCTGCAGCTGCTTGTTGCTCTGTCTTTGTCGTTTCTTCGCTTGTTTGTGTGTTCTGTTGTCCGTTCATGTTGTCATCTTCTTTCGGCTCAAGCTGCTCATTCGCCATTGTTGGAGGCGATGTAGCTGACAACAAGGGCGCCTTTGCATTCGAAAAGGTGGGTCCGGTGGCAAGATCTAAAAATCGGACAGGACCCTGCACAGGAATCAAGGCATTGCGGACTCGATCACAAACAGGTTGTCTGAGAGCAGTTTCCGGCATAGCGTCCAAACGGGCCAGTCGCTCAGCAGGCACTTCTGCTCGAACATGCTCAGGGGCACAACGAACCAAGCTGCTTCCGTGGGCCAACCAATAGACATGAGGTCGGAGAATGCCGTCTTCAGTGGTGCGAGGCTCAATTGCGCACACGAGTCCAGGTCCGCGCCATCGATGCGCGTCGAGCTTGGTCTCAGGAGAACGCCAGTAGAATGCATAATCTCCCAGCTGAAGAGGTTCAAGCTCAGGTCGTGGGCGAGACAGAATGGAGCGCTTGAGAAGTGCATCATGATTGGCTTCGTAGAAAGCTTTGGATGCCAGATGTCTCAATGCATGATCTTGCTGAATGGCCTCGTGCACATCAGGTCGAGTTGGTGCGGGTTCATCGATGAGTCCACCACTGGCTGGATTGTAGCCAAAGACCATTTGAGCTGGTGATGAGCCATGCACGTTCCGAAGGCGATTCCTTTGACTGCAGGCCATGCGAACGGCATCAGCAAGCTCCACATTGGGTTCACCTTGTTGCATCTTGTAGAGCTGAAGTCGGCGAACTGCATGCAAGCGCTCGACTGCACCCATCCTGTAGTGTGCCTCCTTGGGAACAATTATGAGCTTGATGCCATACTTGTCAAAGAACCTCAGATACTGCTCACTCATGTGGGCTCCAGAGGCATCAGTTCGAAATTTGCTCGGAGGTCCAAAAGGATGGATCCATTGTTCCTCAAGCACTTTCAACTCACATTCTTCAGTCTCTCGCTCCACCACTGCATTGACCTCATACTTGGTGAAGGTGTCGAGGATGGCCAAGATCTTTTTCTTCTCATTGTTCCATTTGACATGGAAGACATCAGCTTCAAGCATCTCATTGAAGTGCGAAGACTGGGGCAATGAACCAGGCTTTGGCAACTTGCTCATGAGGTGTTTGGTACAAACATCGCAACGAAAGTCACGAGCGCACTTGATGATGGAGTCGTCCATTTGTGCATCCCTCATGGCTTTGATCAACTTATCGTTGCCAGGATGTCCCAGTTGTTTGTGCAGCTTTGTCACCACCGAAAGAGCTTGTTTGCTGTGACTCTTCATGAGCTTCTTTTCTTCCTCGGTGATTCCGGAAGTCTCTGTGGTCTTCTGGGTCTTCTCATCCATATTGACATCCTCGGAGACGAAGATTTGAAGAACTTCACGTTGTCTCCAGCGACGTTCCATGGAGGCCATAATGGCATTGGCTGCACACTTCACGAATCCAGGTTCGTAGTTTTGCATTTGTTTCAAACTGCGACTCTTGCCATCCATGTTGACGTGGTCATAGCTGGAACATGTGCACGGAAGGTTGAGGGCCTCATAGGTTTCATCATCATTCGTTCTCAATCTGGTAGGCTTCTTCACCTTTCCGACATAGTTGCCCTGTTTGTCATAGTAGCACAGTCCAGTTTGGCATCTGTTGCACACGGCGTCATAGCAGTTGTCAATGCTGTTCAATGCTTTTGTGTCCCAAGAAGCGGCATGATGTGGTTGTTCAACTGCAAAGCCGGAGTTGACGTCATCACAGATGTCACTGGTTTCCTTGACCATCATAAGGTGAGAATTCTCTTCCACATCACGCTGGTACATCAAGTTCTTCATCTTTTCGGGAGTGCCACAGTTCAATCGTTGAATGGTGCTCCATACACGACATGGCGGTGCCATCCAAACATAGTGTGGTTTCACCCTTTTCACAAGCTTCTTGAAAGCCTCTCTGACTCTTGGAATGCTGAAGTCCCATTCTGGAAGTCCGAAGGTCGATACCTCAACATGAGGATAGTTCTTTGCCAGATAGGTGGCGATGTTTCCTTCATCGACATACACCTCGAAGAAGATCAACTTCTTGTTTTCATCAATTCGTGCTCCGATTTGATCGAGGATCTTGAAAGCTTCATCCTGTTCAACTTCAAGGAGCACATGGTCATCACAATTCGTGGCTTCAGATTCCAGGATCGGCTCAATGGCAAAAATGTCATTGTTGTGGAAGATCTCCTCAGTGATGAGTGCCATGTCCTTGGTGTCACCATCAAAGTCCAGGAGGTTGAGTAGATAGTGTCCTTTGGCTCCTCGTGCCGGCTTGAACCAAGGAGATTCACCGATCTTGAGCTCATTGGTTTCATAGTTTTGCTTCACCTTCCAGTCCTCGAGAGTAGGGCGAGCGAGCAGGAAGGGCGTAGGTCCCGGCACGACAGAGGCACAGATTGGAAGTGGCTGACCCTTCACCATGGCCATGAACTTTACCTCATAGCTCGATCGAAGAACTTCTCCTCCTCCGAACTTGAAGTCACGCACCTGAGGACGAGTTTGGATCTTGAGGACATCATCGAAGTTGCCTTCCTCAAGCCATTTCTTCCAGACTTCTTCTCCAACGATGGTGCGTGTGGCTCCAGAGTCAACAATAGCCATGCCAGGGCCAAGCGACACGAAGTACACCTCCTCCTCATCGAAGTGGCATAGTGGTACATCATCTTCCACCATGGTGACTTGTTCTTCAGGAACTTCTTTTGCACCTTGGGCTTGTACTCTATAGCGTTTGAAGCGAGGGCCATGACTGGATGTTGATCCTGACAGCGTTGACTTGTAGTCAGAACCTGACGTGGTAGTTGACGCTGACGACGGTGTATAGGGCTTTCTCAAACCAGCCATGGGTCGTCGTTGTTGAGGCGGAAATCGTCGTGGAGCTCCTTTTCCTTTTCCTTTTCCTTTTCCCTTTGAGGGTCTTGACTTGCTCTTGCCTTTGCCTTTGGATTTTCCTTTCGAACCGTAGCCATCATATTCAGGTCCAATGGCGACAATGGGGTAGAATCCCCTTGAGAGAGCAAGTTCCTTCATCCTCCTCCGCGAGTCCACATAGGAGATGTAGGCTTCATCCATCACGTCAGCTGCCTCCTCCAAATCCTCAGGGATTTCATCTTCGAAGCCTTCCTCCACTTCATCTTCATAGTATGTCTCGTACCAATCCTCTTCATCATCCATGTAGAACTCCTCGTCAGGGTTGACGTCGTCCTCAACCATGAATCCATCATCCTTGACTGTCTTGGTGTTGGAGGACAAGTCACGAGGATTCGGCTTGTGGTCGCCGCCGAAGACTTTGAGCAAGGCTTGATGAACTTGATCATACTTGAGCTCGCCGTTGCAAAGACTCTTGATCTGGATGTGAGTCCACTTGGGCACACCTGACCGTGTGGGCAGGTGCCAACCAGCTAAAAGCGGTGGGATCTCGATGCCAATCTCCCGGAGTTTCTTCAACTGAGTCTTGTGGCGAATCAAGTAGGCCTGCATTTCTTCTCCCCGGCCTCTCATGAACAGCTGAAAGAAATCTTCACAGCGTACGGGGACCTCAATCTCTTCTTCATACTGGTACAGGCCGTCCAACAGCTTCAACACGGGCTTGAAGGGTTCCGTGTTCCGCTCGATGTCATTCATGTCGAGCTGCTCTGAGGCTGCGTCCCAAGCCAAGTTCTTGAGAAGGCTAACCACCAACAAAGCTCCTTCGACTTCTGCATCCTTTGATCTCCTGCGGCATTGGAGGGCAAAGAGTTCCAACCTTTTTCTAAAGCTCCTGTAGTTGGACTGGGTCAGGTCGTCGGCGATGGGAGCGGCTTTCGCCAAGCCACTGTCGAGTCCGCGGTATCCACCAGCTGCTGCCGAAGAAGCGGCTCCATTGGCTCTCGATGGAGATCGTGTCCCTTCAGGCTCAGGTGTCCATCCATCTCCTTCAGCAGGTGGGACTTCTTGCTCGCGGCGTCGACGTTGTTGTCCACCACCAGTTCCTGCCATAGTGGCGCTGAACACGATCTTTGAGATCAGGTTACCTTTAAACGGTAGGAGGATGCCAAAGCAGTCTTCAATCAAAAAGGTCCACCTCCAAGATCTTTCCGAGGATCGTGTAGCGCTCCGCTACCAATCTCAATCGCAATGGTGGCAACCGAAGTCCACAAAGCGTCCAAGCGCACAAAAGAAAGCTCTTTATGGCTGCGAGTGTCGAGGTCGTAACACGTGTGGATCAAGGGCCCTTCGGACAAATATGCGACGGCAGTCGCACATGGGAGAACATGACACCTCGTGACGGGTGTACAGCAAAATGCATTCGCATGTTGACAGTATATTCTTTTGCTACGGGATGATTTGACCCTTCCATGTTTTTTGATGTTTTTCGAAACACGATCTTCACCGTCCTTTATCGGGGTTCTGATGTATTTTTCACCCTTTTGTGTTTTCCACTTTAGCGGCGTGAAACCCTTCTTCTTTATGGGCCGCGCGATAGCCAACGCTTGAGGTTTGCTGGAGCGAGTGTTGCAATTTCAAATGCTTTGGGCTCAAGAGCCTAAGCGGCTTCGTTCGTTTCGCTGGGGCGGTCGTTGTTTCGCTGGGGCGGTCGTAATGACGCAACGTTGGAAACACCATTTCTGGGCTAACCAGCTGGTTGATTCTTCCGCTTCAAGCATGGAACTAATTTAGGAGCTATAGTAACTTTATAACTCTTTTCATAATTGCTAACTGTTTCTTGGGGGAAGCTGGGGCAGATCGGTTTCTATGAGCTCGAACTTCCATTCGGTCTTGGGGACGGATGATGGCCTCGCCACAGTTCGATCGAGCTGCAGTTCCTGGATTCTTCCAAAGAATCTGGGTTTTTGTGAGCTCCTAGTAGCGTCCTTGCTCCTAGTAGCGATGCCAGGAGCCCCTAGTAGCTTCATGCTCCTAGTGGTAAGGCCAGCAGCCCTAGTAGCGTCCTTGCTCCTAGTAGCGCATTTGAATTCCATTCCTGGTTTCCTTTGATCTCCCAACCAAGTGGTTTAATCCGACGATCGCGAGCCACCCCGAAGTCCGCTGGCGCTCGGTGGGACAACGTTGCTCAGGAACCTCGCCATGAGGAGAGAGAGCTTTGCTGGGCCACAGCGGCGTTGGGGTTGTTGCAGCATGACGCTTTGGCATCTAAAATGGGTTGGCCCCGATAGAGGCAGGGTAGAGTGATGCGGTCTGTAAAGTGGATGATGAGATGTCGAGCTTCCCGCATGTTGGAAGATGCTGGTATGTTTGTTGTTCCTTGTACTTGCTTCCGGGCTGCATTCTCACATGGGTGATCAAGACAAAAGGTGCCACGACAGTGAAAGAAAAGGCCCGAAGACTCCATAGGATCATAATGAAGAGCTGCGTGCTGCGTTCCAACTGGGTTCGATCGAAGCAGGGGAACGGACTGTTTGAGCCATGGGTTGGCAGTCAATTCTGATAAAACCAGGGGAGCCTCAACAACACTGGGTTTTGATCACCAAACTCACCAACAAACTCACCAACATGTCTAGAACCTAGAGCCCCTGCTGAGCACGTCCAGCCTCAGCATGGCTAAGATGGTCTTTGGCTCAGGATTGCCGCCCTACGGTCACTTGGGCGCAGGAAGAGCCGGTGAGGTTCATTTCCGTTGCTTCTTTGGATCGTGAGGGCCTACCCAGGATCAAAGGGGTCTTATTGGAGCGAAGCTATGGGTCGAAGGTGGAAAGATCGGAACCACTGCTGAGGTGGAGAGGATCCGATATGTGTAGTATTGTGTAGTTTGTTGCTTATACAAGCATATCCCTAGGGCAAATGCCTCCAGATGTTGAACGAACTCCATCGCCCAATAGCCTACTTTAGGGACAACAGCTCAATGCATTGAGAGTAGCCGGCATAGCCTGTTTCCTCTTACCGGCAGATGCGGCTTTGATGGCATTCATTTTAAACAGGGTGGGTGGATATACTGTATATTATGTTTACCCCATTGCACCCCAGTTCTATACTACCATCAATGAAACTAGGAGAAGGTTTGATTTGGGATTGGTCCGTATTCACTATTCACACACACATATCATATATACATATATACAGTATATAAATATATAAATATGCCTATGATATGCATGTTCACCTACAGCCACTGGGTGCGCAGACTTCACTCGAAGTCACACACACACACACACCACGTGTGGTGCGGAGCTCAGCTTCCACAGAAGACGATGTAGAGCCAACCAGTTGAGATGTTGAGAGACCTGAAGTGGAACATAGTGGAACCTTTTTTCCAGCGGTGCATATATGGCATTGTTTCTTTTCGGGGGGCTGTTAAACCTCTTCACGAAGAGCAACCCTTCGCACCGTTCAAGGTTCGTTCTGTGACAAACAAGCGCACCGTGGACGGCGCTTCGTGCACCGCTTCGACTCGCCAATGACAGACCATCGTTCGTTCGTGGCGCTTCGTTGTGGCGGTTCGGATCCGTCGCTCGTCGTGGGATCGTCTAGGCTGCTTGTTCCTTGGTGGCGTTTTTCGCAGTGCCTTGGTGACCCATATGGGGCTATCGTCGAGCTCAGGCTCGGTTTGGCGGCGATCGTTGAAGTGCCGGAGCTGCTGTTCGTAGCTTCTTAGTTATAAGTAAGGCCAGGAGCTTACTAGTAGCGTCCTTGCTACTAGTAGCGATGCACTTGTTACTAGTAGCTTCTTGTTACCTGGACTTTACACTTATATAACATTCTTTGCCTTCAGTGTTTGTTCCATTCTGACGGTCATTTGGTGTCATTGGTCTTTTGATCAACCCCCCCTCCAAAAAGAAGAGAGCATGTCCGATCCATCAACTAATGACCGTCAGAATGTTTATTGGTCGGACGTAGGCTTAGCGGCTTAGCGTTTGGTTCGACGAGCTGTTGGTCGCCACGATTGGAATTGTCGCCACAGCGCACAGAACCAGTAGCCACCACGTTTGGCCAAATTGACCAAACACTCAGCCGGAACTGGAAGGGGGTTAGGCAAATTAGAGCAAATGAGATGTCTTTTTGGATTTTCGGACATGTGAAGACGTACATAGAGCATTTACTCGATTGGTGCGGATAGGAGACATTGTTGCAGCAGCAAGGTGTGTAAGGTGTATCCATTGCATCTCAGTGTTCGTTTCGAAAAGGGTGCCTCGGATTCTCTCGGCTCTATGTCGTATAAAGTTTCTAGCTTGGAGGCCATCGCTTTGAGTGATTCTTTGCCCAGGACCGTTTGGGAGAAGGGCACCGGTCTTTGCAGAAGCTCTTCAAGCCGGGCCTGTGGACTGCTTTGCAGAATGCAGACGAGAGCTCGGGGATTCTCAGGCCATGCAGACGAGAGCGCGCGGGTCACAGCAGAGACGGCCATGGGCCATGAGTAGATGGAGTAAATAGCACAGCAAGAACCACCTGTTTTCGAAGTCTGAAAGCCCACCAAAGTAGGCCAATGGTTGGCGTCGAATTATGGAGCAATATGGTAGGAATTTTGGAATGTTGGGTCTATGGGACGGACTATTGGTGTTTGTTGGTCATGTAGCTTCCATTTTTGATGTCCACAGCAACAACTTGGGTGCTTTGAAGTGTTTCCTGTGAGGGGGCAAAATCTGGTGACGCTTGCTAATGACTCTTGAACTACTGTCACTTTGCTTTGCCGAGCGATTGTGGACCAATATATTCCACTGTCAATGTGATTAAAACCAACCGTCCCGGGTCCGTCCCTTCTTATGAAAACCGCCTTCCCTTTGGTTTGAGTGGTGTATTGGTTCAGCGTGAACCACGTTTGAATACGATTTGGGCAGCGGCGCAACGGACTCATTTTGCTAATTTCCAGGTGTAAAATGAGTCATTGGAAGTTCTGGGTATTGTCCTTGTGATTGGGCCTCATCAGTTGTTCATGTTATATCCTGTTTCTTTTGGCATGGTGCCTATTCACTATTCGCTTGTGGTTGGGTTGGACGATAGCTGCCATAGCTGCTATAGGCTGATCATCAGCCACGGGAAAACATGCATAAACACTTTACACCTGACTTATGACCAGGGGGAACTTGGAATACGGTAGAAGAAGTTTTGGATAGGTGTTTATTAGATTGCTCATTCTCCGGTGGTCCTCCGGGTTCCAAAGGTAAACTGGAGGAGCCCGCTATGTCATGTCCAGAGCTATACCATTTTCCAGGCCTTGCATCTACAGCAGCTGCTTGGGTATTTGTGGGCCGCAGCCACTGGGATGAACATTTCTATTTGAGTATAAGTGTGTTTATGCGTTCTATTTTTTGCGGGGGTCAATGGCAAACAAGAGATATGATTAGACCGCAACTCAAGCGTAGGCAAGTCAGCAGTGTATAGGCAATTATAGGCAGCGCTTTTCCTGGCTCATTTTTCATAGGGCTAAGTGCGGATAGTGAAATGGATTACTAGATCCTGTGTAGTAAACATGTAAAAATAGGTAAATATAAATACAATATATATATATATATAAGTATATATTAGATATTTAATATGTTAAATATGGATCATGGATCCATTTCTATGTTTGGCAGGACGCCAAAACGAGGAGATGCTAGGGCGGCAGTTTCTTGCGCCCAGTAAAATACTTCATGATCACCTATTTGGGTGGCAAAAGCAACAGATTTGCATCTTTGTTACTGGAGCTTGGTGCGTGACAGGGGCTCATTCTTTCTATCGCACCACCCAATCTTGTGTGGCAGGAAGCGCAATGGACTCCTCATCAATCAGGCGAATACTCTAGTTCAGAATCAAAACACTTTGCTAGATTGCTTTGCAAAAACAGGTCAGAGTCCCTAATTACATCACGGGGTGACGCAGGGGGTCTCCATCCATGATTTTTCTGTCATCATGGATGATATTTTCATTTTAAGCTGGCTGGCTTGGCTGGCTGGCTGTTTGCTTGCTTGGTTGCTTGCTCGCTTGCTTGCTCGCTCGCTTGCTTGCTTGAAGCATGACCTTTGCACGCATATTTGGCTCCAACCAACCAAGCAAGCCAGCAAAAATGACCTTTGCTTGATAACGCGTTGGTTGCTTGCTGTGGGCAAATCATATTCCAACATATTTTTGTTCCAACATATGCAGGCTCCACACTTGGGGCTTCATGCGTAAGCACTTGGGGTTTCACTTCCTTCAGCCGTGGTCGTGCTCAGACGGTGAGGTATGAGATTGCGCTGACGTTGGCTGAAACTTTGACAAGGGAACTTCTGCCAAGTGAGATGTTGGACGATGTGCAGGAGATGGGGTAGGGGTTGGCTTCAGTGGGGAGTGAGACCAGCATTAGCCGGATATAATATATAGCTGGATCCCAGTGCTTGAGTGAGCTGGAGAAATCCGAAAGAAGATGTGTCAGCAGCTTCGAATCTTTTTTGCTGCGATGCATTCATCAAAGTTCTCACTTAGCCGATGCGTAAATCCCAATCATTCCCGGAAAAAGCCGCTCAAAATAGCTCCTCCCGCAGGAGCTGGAGGCAGCCCGGCGGTCTCCGACGTGTCAGGTCTTGGTACAGCGGATCTCCAGAGCTTTGGGGCGCTCGGCGGAGATTCTGAGCCACGAGGATCAGGTGGACGCTGAGATGGAGCTGGAGGGCTGGAGGGCTGCGGGGGGGCTGGGGAAATCACCGACTGTCAGTCTGGAAATCACGTGATTTCGGTGTTCCAAATGTTGATTGCTTCTTTAGATACTTGGGCCCAAACAGGATTGTTTGTTCTATCAACGTGCCAAGCCGTGGCAACTAGATGTTCTGGGGTTCTTAATGTGTTTGTTGGTGCTGGGGCAGGTTGTTCATTGATAGATGCTTGAAAGAAAACTCCATATTTTGTTGAATAAGTTTGTGTTTACTTTTTGCATGACTTAATGATAGCCAAGGAAGAGGGGAACCCAAGCTGGACCCTACCAATTTGCTCTAGAAAGTGGACTGAATATTATGACTGCATTGCCGTGGTTTTGTTATGACTGATATCTTTGAGGCTCACTTGGCCTTGCCCTTGGAGCAGTGGGCTCTTCACGTGGCGGAGCATCCCTCGATCCTGCACCCAGCAAGGTGTGGAGCTGATGTTTGACATACGGACTTGATGGGGTCATGACTTTGGAACCCCAACTTGGATGGAACATCTCGGACTTTGTTCCCCACCTGTCAGGTGAGGGTTGTTAGATTTGAGAAGAGGATCACTCGAAATAAAGGTATGTTTTCCTCTTCGTTTTTGTGGTGCTAAGGCTTAAGGTGGCATGACAGCTTCTTTCGCGGTTCCTATATGTGTGGGACTATGAACGAGGTTTCTGGGGCCCCGAAAGTTGTAGCACTGTACAGGACCTCAGGAGTAAGACAGAGTCGGTGAGACGACCGGGAGTCCCGTGCTGCTGTTGAGCCCAAAAGGCAGTTCATCTATGGCACCTCTTACTTTGAAATTGAATCTGGGAGAAAGTTGCCCTTTGACCAATGTGTTACTTTTGCCGACTTTGCTAAGGATTGGTGCTATTTCCATTTGATTGTTCCTGTTCACCCTTTGGGGGGACTTTTTGGGTACATGTTTTTGCCAGGTGACTTGATTCAATCACATTAAGGCACAGGACTCAGAAGACTCATGACCGCCTCAAACTGATCTTCCTGTATAGGAGCTCCTAGGTGTTTGTGTAATTAGTGTATGTGTACATGGAGAGTTGAGGAGAGCTTGATTAGTGGAATTTCTGACCAGTAGCCACCAGAAGCAAAACAACTACCAACATTAAGAACAAAATATGAGATTCTGTTTGAGCCATGAACTGGCCACCAACATGAAACTGCTGGTTCGCCAATGTAGCCATGCACACTGGCGCTTTCCGTTCATCCCCCCAGACAACCGAAGTCACAGCCGCCCGCCCCAGTGGATCCGGGCAAACCACGGAGATAGCTGATCACCAGGTTCCAGTTCGACTGAAACCATAGCGATCCATAGAGCACTGGAATCCCCTGGGTCCGGTCGGGTTCATCTGCTGGGTCACTAGGATCGGTCTGGTCACTGAGGCGTTGGTTTGGTTCTGCGGTCTTCTTCGCGGTGTCCACCGTGGGGCGAGAAGCCACGCTGCCCAGCCTGGCCTTACAGAGCCTGCTGATCCTTTTGCGCCTGGTCTCACATGAGTCATACATGCGGCCAGGGCCGGCCCAAATGAACCGCCCTTCACAGAAGAACAAGAAAAGATCGGAGAGGGCCCCAAATGCCCAACATGTGGAGCCCACTGACAATAGCCTTGATCCCCCTTTGACCCGGGCGCGGGCGTCAGTTTCAGGGTTGGGTGGGCGGAGCGATCGGATGGGTTCTTGGGCTCAGCTGATTTGAGTGTCCGTTTGACCTGTGCTTGGTCTGGAGTGACCAGTAACGATGATCATGAAGCGGTCCGGCATTCTCAGGTAGCATGCAGAATCTTTCGAAGGAGGGCGACTCTCCACGCTCCCGTCGCACACTCGTGTGTGGAGGTTTCCTACCACTGATTCCCTAGGAACTTGAATGCTTTTGTGTTTAAATGTATATGTATATTTACATATCTAAATTTAGTATATATATATATAATTGTGTTTCTCAATTTAAAGTGGTACATCATCCGGGAATCAGGATTTTGTTGTTTTTCTCTTTGTTTCATCAGCATCACCCTTGCGGTGTGTGCATTGATTGCACCATGTATTGGTCATCGTCGTCATCGTGGCATGTCTGGTTTGCTACATCGATCAAGGTTAGCTTTTGGAACGGGAAGGCCGGCAAGTGTGTTGTTGCTTTCAATGAGACGGCCGAAGCAAACGGTTTTGGGCACACTGGTTTCTAAAGTCACAAGGGTGGCCACAGGCACTCGGAAGCTCAGCCAGCACGCCTAGGAAAGCCTTGACTTGTGTGGATGTGTTCCGAGAGGAGCTGACCGGTCGAGTTTCCAGCACCTGCTTTGACACTTCCACCCTTCTCTCTGTAGGCTCCTTGTTTTCTTCAGCTGACTTGTTTTTTTGGCCCGCCCTGCAAAACAAGAGCATCCAACTTGAACTTCAGGTGTGTTGAGGATATGCTCCTCTCAACCATGTTTGTAGATCCTTCTTGGACATAGAAGCCTGGGACGCGCATGCCAAATGTGATCTGCATTTTTAGGGAAGCAATCCTGGAGAGGACACCCCAGAATTCCGCGCCCTATGCCTGAGCCTGGTGCAGTGTGGGCGCGATCAGTTTGGTCAAAGCTTCCAGGAAGCTTTGCTGGAGAGCTTCTGTGGCTCGGTGTTCGAGTTTTTTCCTCGGCAATTGTGGAATGGAAATATAGACCCTTACGCTAGGAAGAAGAAGGCAATTGTGGAATGGAAATATAGACCCTTGCGCTAGGAAGAAGAACGGTGACAAACGTGATAGATACCGAAAAGCAATGATTTATTTCGGGTGGGGGTGGCCATCTGGTGGTTTCAGATATGTTCAACCGTTGCTTGGGATGGCGCTGTTCCCCCATGGAGGAGCGAGCTTTCGACCTCTTCCTTCCCCCGGTCCGATCGAGGCGAGCTCGACAGCTTGACCTCCTCCATTCATGCGCAGCGGCTCTACTTCTGGCGCCGAGACAGCAGAGTGGTGATAGCTCTAAGGGGGGATGAGTGGGGACTGCCGATATCTACCAGGACCTTCCCAGTGACCTTTTTGGAGTCCCTAAGTGACCTTTTGCAAGCCTAAGTGACCTCAAACCAGGGGATCAAAAGGTCACTGGGAAGATCCAGGTAGATGGCTTTTGGATGCTTTTGGATCCGGAAGTCAGAGATGAAAGACTTCATAGCTGAATCGATGTTCATGAGGAAGCCGATGATGCATTGTGAATGTGATTGTTTGAGCGAAGCATCGAGCATCCTCACAAACGAGTGACATCATTTGTACATGTCTCATCCAAGAATCCCGTCGAACCAGTCAATCTGAAATCTGATCCCCAGGCCTTAGTGGGGTTTTGTATATAACTCCCTCAAGGACAAGGACCGTTTTGAATCTCGGAGAACATGCTTGGGCAGGTTCAGGTGGAAACATCACTTGGGATTTGAGCCTAGTGTCACAACCCCAACTCCAAGAAGGACTTGAAGGGTTCCATGCGCCTAGTTAAGGCGATTCTTCGACCGAGCTGGTATGCAGTGGTTTGTGGTCGCCAGTTGTTGTTTCCCTGTTGGGAGGTTTAGCATCATTTATGAGTCAAGTTCAAGAAACACAGTATTGCGCATCTCAAACATCATCAAACCAATTGCTGTGGGTTGACATGCACCTTCCACCACTTCTTCAATGGTTGAATCTCGGCTCAGCGTTGTCAATATTCGGCATCAATGGAAGCTCCAGAAAGTCCCACAGGTTGTTCTCGTTTGGAAAGATCTTCAAATCGGGTTGGACCCAGCTGAGCCTCTCAACAGGCCAGCTGACCTTTTGGCGCGAGCGAGGGGGGTGGTCCCCATGTCAAGTTTGGTCCCGGGTACAAACAAATATATATATATATGCACAACTGGTGCCGCAATGGCCAATAGACGCATTTGTTTGGCCATGGGCCATGTTTGATATGACATTAACCGAGACACTTCGGCAACATGTGCACCACCTGCTTTGTTCAATTGCTATGTTTGGTGGCTCTAGCTTCCTTGCATCCTGCAATCAGTTGTTCAATATGATATATTATGATGTATATGTATATGTGTAAATAAAAATATGTATATATATATATATACATCAGTTCTCCAGGGAAGTTGGATGCCCTTTTCCAGGAGACCCACACAATCCTCATGTATATTACTAATCTATTTTATTGTTTGATATTGTTTGCTTTGGATTTGTGACATCCTTTCAAAGAGAACTGCATGGAAATGCTCCTTCCCAAGTCTGCCCAGTTAGAAATACTCGGGTCTACTCTCCGCCCGAGAGTTGGACGTCGGCCCACGTGGCCAACCGTGACGTCCAACGTGAGTGACGCGGCCAACCGTGCCGAACGACACGGCATTCACTGGAACGATCATCGGTACCACTGCTTCTCCAGTGGTCTTTTTGGGTCGACGGTGTTACACCGGTGATCCACCACAACTTTGGCCCATCACTCAGTGGTTTCACCGTTCCCCGTTCACCATCGAAATGCGAAGATGTTGACATCGCTCAGCCAGGATGGGGCTCTTATCCTTGGCTGAGGTTCAGGAGCCGGCGCGAACTGCATTGATCTGCTGGGAGATCATTGCTGGGAACTTCTTTCATTGTTGGAGGTGTCCAGATCTATTAACCAATTAAAGAAGGAGCACGGTAAGTATATAACAGACTTCCAGCCAAACAAGAACAAGATCTATAGACATGGTTTTGAGCAGTGGTTACACGTGGATGTGTGTTTTTGTTCCCGTTGCCTCGCTATCCCTTTGGAGCCCGTAAGGTGTCGAATAGGCCAAGAGTTCCTCCGTGGAACACTGAAAGACTGGAATCCACGGCCCCTCGACTCGAGCAGTCATTGAATCATGCTGCAGCCCCGGTTCTGGTGGCCGAAAAGCATCCGAAGATTGCACCAAACCATGGACCCTACTGTAGGGCTCCCAGCATTATACCATTTATACCTTCCGAGAAGTTGTTAGGTCTCTCCACTCCAAAAGAAACTGCAAACATCAAGGTGTTCCGACCCGATGGACCTCTACCAAGAGTCCCTCAGTTCCGAATCAGATCTTCCTATAATCAGACCATACGCGTCCGCGGGTGGTGCCTTCACGTCGACCGGAACCCGCCCAACGCGAGCGTTCCGGACTCGGCGCGCGCCACGACACAGGACTTGTGGGCCGCTTGGCCCTCGGTCCTCCATTGCTTGCGCGCCGGCGGCGTGCTGACGGCGCGCGCGGTGGCGCTGGTGGCCGAAACGCTGGAGCGGCACGTGCCGCCACGGCGAGCGCTGAAGCAGATGCAGGAGGTTTTGACGACCGCCCTGCCTGTGGCTGCCGAGGAGGGAGAGAAAATGAGGGAAGTCCAAAACGAGGGGAAAACAATGGATGACATTGGGATGACCGGAGAAAAGATCAAAAGCAGATTGGGTACCAGGTATGATTACATGATGTTTACTTTTCTGCCCAGTGGCAGGTCAATGTCGGCCCAGTTGCTGATGGACCAATGATGACCAAGTGATTCCTCCAACCGACCGACGGTGGATCAGTGATTCCTCCGGTCGGTCGGTCACCGTCGAACGGAGGCGTCCTCGGGGACTGAGACGATGGCGGCATTGCACCGGAGCATCGACAAGTTCATGGATGTGGCGAGAGACAGTAGCTTGATCTGACTAGCTTTGAGGAGTTGAAGATGTTGAATAAGGACTAGACATGTTGGATCCTTTCTTTGGTTTCATGAGGTGTGACAAGCTTGAAAGTCAACAAAACGTACAGTGGTCTGATTCGAGGAAGGTTCTGCACCTAGTTTTGCCTCAAACAACAAACCATGGAACCTGTGGCAATTCCAAGCTTCCGGAGTTTGCACCATTTTTCTGTTAAACCCATTAGTCATTTCAATAGGTCTCCTCTATCCTATGAAACATGTATATTATATATATATACACATATGATTTGTCGGGGGTCACAAACAGAATTGAGAAACTCGAGCAAGTGCAGCGATTGCAAGCCCAAGGTGTAGCATCCCTGCACATGCTCAAATTGTTTAAATCAGGTCTGCGCAGAATCACTGCATGTCAAGTTTGAGAGACTCGCGCATATGCAGTGGCTCGATGCTTCCCAACAATCCTGGACATTTAGGGGGGCGCCGTATATGGACACAATCTCACAAGATTCCAGGGAATTAGTACAAGGGAGATTCGATGACATTCGTTCAAAGCAAGAAATGCCCTATAAGGCTCCAGCAGTTGCAGTCCTATGACTGAAGATAGTATTTGTACGGGAAGATGTCATTGTGCACATTTTGATGTGCAAGACTCTCTATAATATGGTTTCCGCCAAGCCCATATAATCCCTGATTTGAGTGTTGCAACTCCCAACTAATGCCATGGCACTGTCTAAAATACACACAACCAAAAACATGTCGTGTTTTTCAATGTGTTTCCTATTGTTCCCTCGTAGGCACGCCAATTTGATCAGTTGATGTGCCGGATGCTGATTTTCCATGCGCTCGTCACTCGTCGATGCCGTCCAAGCGCTGGTTTCAAGCACATGCGATCGTCCATTGACGCCCGGTGATCGAGGCAGTCCCGAGGATGTCTCCTGGGTGCTCGGGGAGCTTGCTCAGCAGGCACTCGGACACCAGGAGGAGAAGAAGGCAGGTGAGAAGGAGGGGGTGGAGGAGAAACTATAGTGCCTAGTAAGGTCTATTCTTAATGTGGCAACGAAAGAAAGAAACCAAAGAAAGACCCAGGTAGAGACCCGAAGGGGTCGTTCCAGTTTGACCTGGAACACGACCGTTGGGCCGTTGGGTGCCAACCCCGAGCGTGGTGTGTGAGGCATGTCACCTCTCAACGCTGGGTCTGAAAAGCCCTGGAAGCCGTGTTTGTTCCAGGCCATGATGTTTTTCCAGCTCCTTCTTTTGGCCATCCGCCGCGAGCCCATTGCAGTGGTGCAGGCGGAAGAACCAGCCAGAAACGGCCAATTTTTGCATTGTTGGTTGTTCTTACTACAGTAGAAGTTCTTACGCTGCCTTCCTGAAGCGCACAGCTACAACATGGGATGACAGGGAAATGATGGGAAATGTGTCATGTTTGGACCTTGCTTCGGAACTAGACACCGACATGACTCCTTTAAGCTGCCCATTAATTGAGTAAACAGTATATTGATGCATATTGTACACGAGACAAACGCCATAATTGTCCATGACTTGTTTTGTCTCAGAGGTTTCATCCAATCGCTTTGTTGATGTTCGTTGGAAAACGATCGGGGACGGCCAAGAAGCGATAGGGTTTCACATACACCTGTCACCTGCTTGGATGTGTGGAGCTGATTTGCTTCTAATTGAAGCCACAACTGGCTTCAGCATCGGTGTCATGTTTTCCTCCAACGCCATGTGTTTTTGAACGGACCTCAAAGGATAGGGGATACAATAGGAGCAATGATTAGCCTTGACTTTCAAGTCCCAGTTGCCCATGTGTGCGCTTTCAAGGTTGCAGGTAACATGGGGAAATTGTCCCCCAGCTCGGATTCTTCGCAAAGCGAGTACAATAACACGTTGCTGCTGGCTGTAAAGCATTCATGCGTAGGAAGGAAACCAACACGAGGATCATGGAATCTTGCAGTCCGGGCAGAAGAGTGCTAGTTATTGGAAAACGATAGGGGACGGTTTAAATACCCGCCTACATAAGAAATGTTGCATGTGGCTCACATACATTCATGTGTCTCCATACGCCCCGCGTCCCTTTCGTGCACTGTCCGAGCTAAACCACGCAATTGTTGGAATGTGCAGCTCATTGGAGTAGCTTTGGTGGACTTCCATTGATCCAAATGTTTGGAAATCCCATTCGTTCAAGAAAGATCCAACGGAAGTCCACCAAAGCCAGTCCAGTCGTTGGAGAGTCCAAATAGATTCGATCGGATGGTCAGTTTCAACATGCAAATCATGCAATGCCAACATGACAAGAATATTGTCAAGAGGTTTTGCTGTAAGTCTTGTACGCAACACATTTTGTGACACATCATCAACTTGTCACTGTTGTGAGGACTTTGTGGCGAAGCCTTTGGCGCTGCATCCTCCCTTCCGAGAGCTCTTCGCCGGCCATGTGTGCGCTACGTTTCCTGAGAAGACTCGACCTGCCGTGGCAGGCAGGTGCTCGGTCGACGCGGGTATGGTGATCCTTCTTGTCCAGGACATGTTGGTTGTCTTTCCAAGACATATGATTCATATATATATATATATGTTCACATACACATAAACCAAGGGGAACGAGCTTTTGATCCGATGATTCTCGCCTTTTTTTGGTGTCGCTCTTGGTTTTTCTAAGGGGGGACCAATTCGATTGGTGAGAACCCTCGAAACAGACAGCTCTGGAGTGCTTTGGGGAGTCAGCTCTTTCAGGCTGGCTGCTGCAGCAGTTCCCTGATGCGGCCAAAGCCTTTACGGAGCATGGTCCTGCCATTGGCGAAGCCCATCCAGTTCTACGCTCTGCGTTGTGAGAACAACCTCCGCCGTCGATTTCGCGCGCGGCAGAAAACCGGCCCAAAGAGACGTGAGGGTTCTACAGGTGAGTCTTTTTGGGGGTTGAGAGTTCGGCTCCGGGTTTGATCCTTTTGGTTGTCAATCTATAGTCTATAGTTGTATTTATATATATATATATATGTATTAGGTTTCTAATTTATTTATAACATATACGTGTACATGTATATATAGACACGTTCAACGGATTGCAATCCAAGAAGAGAGTCTCAGACGACAAAGTTGAACCAAGACCTCGGCCACTGAAGGGCCTTTGAAGGGGAGTGAAGAGTCATCGTCCAACAGTCCACGGGTGTAGAATCTTGCATAACTCCTCAAAAACCCGTGACTGGGATCCACGGGGTAGTTTACAGTAAAGACCCTTGATTACACCTTTGTTGCACAATGTGCGAGGATACTGCACGGGTTGGCTCAGTGGGCTGGGCCCCTCACAAGACGAAACATGTCATTGATGCCTCTGAACTTTGACGAGTTTATGTCGCACACATGGGACTTAAAGAGAGAGCCTTTCCTTCTAATCATTTTTTCTTTGGAGGGACAGTTTCCAGTTTCCCTCAGACTCATCTTGGAACTGCCCCCGCCTATTATCCAGTTCATCCTACAGGTTGACGACACGTTGATGTTGCTGCTGTCCATGGTAGGCTGTCCGTGTCCCACCCGCCCTAGGTCAAGAAGTCGAGCATGCACTGGCCCTGAGCTCAGCAAGGGCTGCCTAGCTGAAGTCTCGGTGGTTTTTAGACTACAGCTTTCCATGATGGCACCTCGCACTTCTCAGGGTCTCATGGATTTCTTTGCATGTTCTTTGTTTCTTTCTGCTACCACCTCCCTAACTATTCTCCTTCCAGCTGGCCTTGTTCATGGCTCAAAGCTAGCCTGACCAGCGCATGTCCCCAACAACTCCTGTGCTGCTCAGTCGGCAGTGTAGTTTACGTGGCTGGTTTACGCGTGCTGTTGGCTCAGTCGGCTCAGGTACAGAGGAGCCAGCGGAACTTGCAACGTCACTCGGCAGAGCCGAAATGTGCTGCGATGGGTTTCCGGTGTGCCTGCGTGCCGCGTTCGCGTTCCGGTGAATCGATGTAGCACTGGGTGCCGCTCTCTGGGGACATAGATGTACCGACAATAAGTTCAGAGATGTTGAGAGGTCGATGACCCCATGGGTCCGGGTAGGACTTGTTTGGGAGGTCTCACCTTCCCCCGCACGGCTTACTTACTCCCCCAGTTGTATTTTGTTAGCCAAAAGAGCAAGCAATATTCTTTCAAGAAAGACAAGTCAATTCCAGATCTTTGGCATTGATGAACTTGGTTTCACAGTTCATCACGGCCGGGATATGTGCTACGGTTCGGAACAGGAGGAGCTCGCGGCCAGTTTTACGGGGCTTGGCTATGTTCTTTGGTGAGCCGCCTGTATGACCCTGCAATTCAAAGAGGTTGGTCACCCGCACTGTTACTCCAAACTTTACGATGTTGGATGCCTGCTCGAAGGCTGCTTCCTGACTGACAGTGACCACGGCAAGGGCTTTCTTGGTTCCCATGTAATTTAGCTATACATAGCTATACCATGTATACATATGTATATATATATATTTATACATATCAATAATGTAATATAGTTGTCTAAAATCGATGAATACAACAGCACCCTTGCGACTTGCGACCATCAAATTATCCTTACAGATCTTGCTGCTAGTGGGCAGCAGTCGCCTACTTGCCCAAAACGGACTACGCAGGCCTGAAGCTTCCAATGTGGAGCTCACGAAACTGCCAACTTTTGTGTGGCTGGCGTGCTTGACCGTGGGTTTCGTCCTCATGTGAGCTCAACATTTAGAAGACCTCATGGCTGCTCCATGTCCTCCGGATTCTTTGAGGAAATGACTCGGTGTCGCTAAGACGCGTTGGCAAAGACTCACAGAAGATCTCCGGAGCCTGGTCGTCAAACAGCTGGGCGTCAAACGGGATAAACATCAGAGAGCCAACGGCTGTTGCAGCAAAGTTTTTTCGCAGACACTGGCAGATACCATTGCCTGCAGTGTTTGCTGGATGTCTTTCCTAGTTCGTCCCCATTTTCGGGAGAACGTCAACATGCAACTCATTGCTAGGTCAAGTCTTGGTGTGGTGAGCCCAAACATGAATGGAATCCACGTGTTTCCCAGTGATCCCGACCGCGCAGATCCGGCATGATCCCTCCAACGCACCGCTGGGCTCAAGCTGTTCCAGGATCGAACATGGCTGAGGGTTGAAGCCGGGGTGACTGAGTTGACCAGCCAAATGAACAGAATAGACGACCTGGGAGGTCAACCTACATGGCTACATGGGGCCCGAGGTTTTTGACCCATCCACATAGGGAATCTATGGATTTGGTTCACTTGGTTTCTTATAGGTCTCCAAGAACTGTTCAACGACAACCAGCATATGCTGGGCTTGCCAGCATCCAGCTGCCCAACCTAGTCCGGCTGTGTTCCTGATTGTACCTGTACACCGAGCAGAAAGGGGCCAAGGTGGCGTTTCTTGGACGGCAGATGTACTTCTTAGACCCAATTTTGAAGGCATCCCTGGCTTTTTCATGTCAAGCTCCTGAAACGGGACCCAACGTAGAGCTCATATGCGCAGCGCCGCTGTCGTTTCCTGGCCACGCTGCGAAGACGCGATGTCGCCACTGCGTCGCCTCCTTCCGCCCAGCGTCTACCACCACAGCTACTCTCCACCCTGGCCACCGACCCATCGGCCACTCGGAGAAGGGTTCATGCGCGCATGGCAAGACAGACATTTACGAGTGGTTGATGCGGGTTAGAGTCTAAGGTCTGCCAAAAATTGTTTGAATCAACCACGGGGGATCACAGACAGATGCACCCTTCTCTCGTGTGGCATGAGGGAGCCTTCTCATCTTCATGCAATGCTTTACCGGACCCATTGGGCAGGATGTCTTTTTTGGGAACCTGAAGAGATTCCAGGGGGTTACACCTGAGGTTTGTCGCTGAATTCTGTGACATGAACTGATGTTGATACATGTTCATACCTTTTTGTTGGGGGGAGGAGTCCTTGGGGCTCCATCAGCGAAACAACCATGCCGCCAGACCGTGGTGAGGTTCCCCATGTGGAAGTTTCATGACCTGGCCCTGCAGCTGCTCAAGGACCAGCTGGTGACCGCCTGGGAGGACTTTGTGATGCCGCAGCCTTTGCAGGAGGAGTGGATCTTCCTGGCACATGAGGAGGCCTCAAAACGCCGCGCGAACAGCACGCTTCAATCCAGATCAGTCAAGAGTTCACTGAGGCTTTGGTTCGGTGTGGAACGGTACTTGGAACGGTTTAAGTGACCTGCACACCGAACAGCTGCAGCCATATGCAGCTGCCCATGCACGTAGAAATTGCAGCCATATTGGCATGATTCCATGGGACGTGCACATGCCCTAAAGGATTCTCAACATCGAAAACCATCGAACACCAATCGTCGAAGAAGAATGTTTGTTGGCTTCTTCGTTTTGTTTGCAGATGCTTGCTCAAGAAATACTGGGATTATAGATATATTTTGCAAATGACTGAGCGCGCCCAAGGTTGATTCTGGCTATTTAGACTTCACACCCACTGCCAATCATATCTTCCAATGATTCCACTCATGTTCCTCTCCACTTGATCTACCGGGTCACTTTTCCTATTTCCGCCGCTCACTTTCCGCCTGGCAGGACTACTACCGTCGCTTTTGCAGCGACACCTTGGATCCCGCCGCGCTGCGTCGCATCGGCTTCGCGCAGCGCCCGGACCACCGGCAACTGGTGGCACGGACGTGCTGGGAAGCTGCGGGCACACTCACTTGCGCCAGGGAGGCCTTGAAGGCGCCGAAGCGGCACAGATCGACCACTGGGCCGATATAAGATGCAATTGATATAGCAAACGTGCCAAAACATGTTGGAAAAGGAGTGGTTGATAGTGGTTGGCCTTCCAAATTGGAATAGAAGCTCCCCTGAATTTCCCCATCCATTTGGTGAACAAATCCTGCTTCCAGGTGGGCATGGCAGGCACGAGTCGCTGATCGCGGGCGAATCAACTGGGGCCCTGACTTGTTCAGATCTGACCTTTGTTTGAACATTCCTTAGACCTCGAAGACGACGAGTCCAGCGTTTTCTGATCGTGGAGGGTTTCATCCAACTTTAAGAGCTTAAAGAGCATATGCAGCATACTCCAACAGGGCGTTGTGCAAGGCCCCCAACAGGGTCCCGTCACTGTCAATAATTGATTCAATCAGGAGGTAGGGGCGCAGAAGTACAGCTTTTGGGCGGGGGTCTAATCTATACCGCAACCTGTAGAGCCTGTAGAGCAACGGAAACCACGCCCTGTTGACTTCAAAAGAAACAGTGCCAACTCCGCAACAGATGTGCTGGAGGCCACTGTGCTGGTGGCACTCATCATGCTCATAGAGCCTGGGGCAGTGGCTACACAGTGCTGAACGACTTGGCGATCACTGCGAAAGTCCTCCTGCAGGAGCAACCGGCTCACTTGGTTTGGGCATGGCTTCAACCTTTCTTCAAAACTGAACTGGAAAAGTGAGATGTGAGCTGGATCTCCCCACAAATGAACTGGTGGAACAATGTCAACTTTGTTTTGTGTGTGTGTTGGCCATTGCTATGAGGATGGAGGCCATTGCTAGTATGGATGGAGGCCATCGCTAGTAGGTTGGAGGCCATTGCTATTACTGTACGGGAGCCGAAAGTTGAAAGGGGGTGCTACCAGACTTGTGGCCAGACAGAGATCTCAGTCACATGGAGGCTCCTCACTGCATCAGGAAATCTTCCCGAGCGAACCTATATATATATAGTATATATATATACACACATATCACAGCAAAACAGGACCACATCCTCACCAAAAACGGCCCCGCCAAATCCAGCTTCAACATGCTTCAACTGGCCCTGGAGAAGAGAGAGCTCGAGAGAGAATCAAAATGAATCAAACAGCAGACTCACCATATATAATAGTATATAATTAGATATATAATATCCCAAACAAGGATTGTGCGAGCCAGCCAGATCTACTTCCGGCATGAAACGGGCATGACCGCCAGGAGAAGGCGGTGTCGAAGATCTTGATTTGCGATCTCGACGTTCACCAGGGCGATGGCACCGCTGAAATTCTCCAGGTGGCACCGGGCACCGGGACCGGTTCCCGCCGTCCGTGGGCGTGGAGAGGGCAGAACCTGCCCTGCGGTTTGGGGCGTTTTGGGTGGACTAGAGTCTAGACTAGATGAGGTTTGGGGCGTAGATTGTGGGAATGGATTATTGTAGCCTGCTTAATTAAGTTCGTGCAACACAAGTGCTGAGAAATCAGCAATGAGAAAGACAGCGCTGAGCATCCAACATGTTTTTGATGTTTGGTGCCGCCAAGTAGTGTTTGGAAGAAGATGATCAAGATCCACTCCTTGTCTTCGCGGCGAAGCACTGGAACATGACGTAAACAGATGGCACGTGCAACGGACACAAGTGCCCATGTGTTCTATGTTCCACAAGTGCCCACGCATTTTCCCTGCTGCATGGGAGTGCCTGCACGGAATAGATTTGGTCCAACAAGAATGATGCCCACAGGCCCACAGGGATAAGTAGATGAACTTCCACTGCTGCAGAGTGCGAGCCTTGTGTTTCCACTGGCTGTTCTTATTTTACTGAACGTGCATGAGGCTTAAGGAATCTATACATACAAAGGATGATCCGAACTTAAGATTGAAGAGGGAGGTGAAGCGCTGGGGCTTGTAGAGCTTCATGTTTGTCCTCTACACTTTTGCTGAAGACTCTTGGAAGACTGCTTGGATGAACTCACCCTCATGGATCCTTATGGCAAACAGGATTTGCAAGAGGGGCCACGGGGCCACCACAGCAGCTCAGACAAAGATATGGGCTAATGAGGTTCTCAGCACCGAACCGAGGAACGACCATGCTTTTTGGAGACGAACCCAAGACTGGAGTAGGTCCACTTGGGGGTGACACCTGCCAGGATGAGCCGAGAGCGTTTACGATGTCGGTGCATTGCAAGGAGAACTTCCCGTTCGGCTTCAAGGTGCCATTGGCTGTCGTTCGTCATGTCAACTCACCATATGTGACACTGGACAGCAGAGATGGCGGAGACACTCACTTGGCAAGACAGATGGTCCGAAAGAAAGATGGTCCGAAGTTTCGTGTGGACTCTGTGGACTTAAGCTGTGGGACTTTATAAGCTGTGCGGAAACACAACTCTTGGCGTCGCGCGGGATCAATGGTTATCGCAAGACAGGACTCACATGGATAGTTGTGAGACACTTCAAAGTCAAACGAAAAGGGACACTGAAAAGCACTGGCGGTCTCTATAGCTAGAGCCAGATCATCGAGCCAGACGCGTCATTTCAATCCGTGCAGCCATGGGCGCCATCAGTTCAGCCGTGGAGCGGCCGGATGACGTGCCGGACGCAGCGCTGCTGAACTTCATCGCAGAGGACCCGGAGCGTGCCAGAGGACTCCTCCGCCTGGCCGTCAGGGCTGAACAGCTGCTGATCCTTGGCGGAGGACAAACACCTGAACATGTCGATTCATACATATATATACATAGAGAGAGAGTAGTTTAAGCAAGGTCTATGTACTATTTAAGTTGTTTTTATATAGACCATGTAAGGTATAAGACAGTTGACTCTTAGGGGGCTATCCCAACAGTCTGGGGGCTTGGTGTGTTGGCAACGCCAATGAAGATCCGTGGAAGTGCAACAACATCGTATAGCATACGTGGTCTATTCCAAAGTGTTTGAACGCATCTGGCTGTGGAGGGGAGGCACCGATGAAAGATTTGGACCCTCAACCACAAGTGCCGTACCTGAAGATCAGTGGTTGTTGAGGGATGGAAATACAATCAAATACATGTCATCAGAGTTCTGCTACTGGGAGAATACCCTTTCAACCATCCGAGGGCTCGTTCCCTTAGAATCCAGGTGCTCTGAGAAGGGTCCCGCCTTGGACTCTCCAACTCCTCACATGCATTTTGGGTCCCGCCTTCTCGCTCCAACAAGAAATGCTGATGTTTGGGGTATTGAATGCGTTGACATTGGTCAAATAAAAGGACGCTGTAAGAAACTCACCCTTGGTCCCTCACTGTGAACCATGCGTGTTTCACGCCGCGAACAACCCACACAACGACCGTCCCCGAGGTCCCTCGCAGAGGCGACCTCGGGCGACGGCGACATCGGGGCGACAGTGGCAAGACCGGAAGGGTCCTTCGCACGCGCACGTGTGAGGGTAGCACCTGAAGGACCTGAAGGATGTGATGGCAGGTTGAGCGTCCACGGGATGGATGGCTGGACATGTCAGCTGGTCGCTGAGGATGCTGCGACCGTGGCCGGGAAAGGGTTTGGCAAGCGTTTTTCAGGTGAGCGCGATTTCTTAGGTTAGTTCATGCGGGTTTGTGTATGGTATGGTTCCATGATGTATCATGCACTTGTTTCAAAAGCACGTCAGAGGTTGATGACCTGTACAGAATCATCGCAGCAAGGGCTGGCATGAAAGCAGGTTGCAGACTGGTGCTCACATCAGGTGGAAACGTCCTCGACACTTCCAAGCCTTTGCTGCAGCAAGTCTGTGGTGACGAGATCATGTTTGTCGTGAGACATGTTTCTGCTGGAGAAGCGGCCACGATATTTCAGCGGGAACTGACAGAAGCAAGAGCACAAAGGAAACAGTTTCCTTTTCAAGCTGCCGAAATGGATGCCATAAATGCAATCGCTTCGCTGACTTTGGACTTTGACCAGAGCTTAGCTGGTGTAACGCTACCCAAAGCACTCCAGACCATGACCTTTGCTGTTGGATTTAATCAGAGCTTGGATGGTACATCACTGCCCAGTAGCCTGAAGGCATTGACCTTTGGTCATGATTTCAACCAGAGCTTGTATGGGGCAATGTTGCCGAGCGGCCTGCAAACCTTGACCTTTGGTGATCGGTTCAACCAGAGCTTGGATGGTGTAGTGCTGCCGAGCGGCCTGCAGACCTTGACCTTTGGTGATAGGTTTAGTCAGAGCTTGGATCATGTAAAGCTGCCGAGCGGCCTGCAAATACTGACATTTGGTGCTTTATTCAACCAGAGCTTGGATGGTGTAGCGCTACCGAGCGGCCTGCAGATATTGACCTTTGGAGCTTTGTTTAACCAAAACCTGGATATAGTAACACTGCCAAGCGGCCTGCAGGTGTTGACCTTTGGCCGCGATTTCAACCAGAGCTTGGATGGTGTAGCGCTGCCCAGTAGCCTGCTAGAATTGACCTTTGGTGATCGGTTCAATCAGAGCTTGGATGGCGTAGCGCTGCCAAGTGGCCTGCAGACATTGACCCTTCGATATCATTTCAATCAGACCTTGGATGGTGTACTGCTGCCCAGCGAACTGCGGACATTGACGTTGACCTGTGGTTTTGGCAATCAGGGCTTATCTGGTGCAAAGCTGCCATGTGGTGTGAAAGCCCTGACGGTGGGTGGTAACCGGAGCTTGGCTGATGTATCGCTACCCAGTGGCTTGCAAACACTGACCTTTGGTTATCATTTCGACCAGAGCTTAGATGGTGTCATGCTGCCAAGCGGCTTGCTGACTTTGACTTTTGGTTATCATTTTAATCAGAGCTTGGATGGTGTATCCCTGCCGAATAGCTTGCAAACACTGACCTTTGGTTTTCATTTTAATGAGAGCTTGGATGGTGTATCCCTGCCGAGCGGCTTGCAAACATTGATATTTGGTCGTGATTTTAACCAGAGCTTGGATGGTGCAAAGCTGCCGAGCAGCTTGCGGACCTTGACCTTGGGTGAGTGTTTCAACCAAAGCTTGGATGGTGTGACCCTGCCGAGCGGCCTGCAAACGTTGACTTTTGGCCGCGATTTTAATCAGAGCTTGGATGGTGTAGCACTGCCTAGTGGCATGCACACCTTGACCTTCATGCATCAGTTTGACCAGAGCTTGGTCGGTGCAACGTTGCCAAGCAGATTGCAGTCCTTGACCTTTGGTGTCTTCTACAACCAGAGCTTGGATGGTGTAGCGCTGCCGAGCGACTTGCGGACATTGACCTTTGGTCATGAGTTCGACCAGAGCTTGGATGGTGCAACATTACCAACCAGCTTGCAGATCTTGACCTTTGGTGCTTTCTTCAACCAAAGCTTGGACAGAGTTGTGCTGCCCAGCGGCATGCACACCTTGACCCTGGGTCATGATTTCAACCAGAGCTTGGATGGTGTAACGCTGCCGAGCAGCTTGCGGACCTTGACCTTGGGTGACTGTTTCAACCAAAGCTTGAATGGTGTTACGCTGCCGAGTGGCCTGCTTACGTTGACCGTGGGTGATCGTTTCAACCAAAGCTTGGATGGTGTAACGCTGCCGAGCGGCCTGCAGACGTTAGCCTTTGGTTTTCGCTTCAACCAGAGCTTGGATCGTGTAGTGTTTCCCAGCTCACTGGAGAATTTGTCGTGCCCGAGCCTTTCCAAGCGGTTGGACGGTGTCACATTACCCAATAGCCTTCAATCCATGTGCATCAATCACTTCGAGATCTGTGTTCACGGGCTCTGAAGGTGCTCAACCAACTTGGGCTGCCAGAAGTTCCAGCAAATCAGTGAAATCCAAGCAGTACTTCTCACAGGGACCTGACACTGCCTCAGACAACCCCCCCGGCAAGACGGCGAGACTAAAAAGGACCAGAAGCGGGGTAGGTCCTGGTAGGTGACCTTCTGTGTTGGTGGGTCATGCAGCCTTCAAATCCAAGATCAAACCATTTCAAAGCTACATATAGCCTATATGTTTGTTTAACTTGCTCGTACATTTGCTGGATGAATGTGTGCAGCTGCATGAGCAACTGGGCTTAGGCAGCCTATTTGTGTCAGAGTGTCCTAGTGGGACGGCTATGCAGCAGCAGCAGCAGCTAGACTCTGCAATTTCCTTTCCATTCCTTTCCCACAGTTGCCTACCTCACCCCTTCTATTCCAATGAAGCCCGCACGGACGCCGATGTGTGGCCACACGAGGGCTTGAGCCACCTGGGCCATGATCGAAGCGACCTGGACGTGGCGTTGCCCAAGGGCCTGGGCGATGAAGAGCTCCTTGGGCCTCAGGGAGGACCATGGGAAGATCACGACAGCGCTGTCATGGGGTTCCGGTGACACCACTTGGCGAAAACAACATTGGGTTTGATGTGCTTGGAGTCATTGGATGTATGATGATGTGTTTCTTCTACTTGGTCTATTATGACGGATGCTTACGATGGACTTCATAGAAGTGGTTGGAAGGACCGGACCAACAAATTTGTTCTAATGTTATGATTTTCTACCAAGTGACCTGAGTTGTATATTATATATATATGTGCCTAAAAGGTGTTCTAAAGAATCTTCCATCAGCAGCATATTCAAGCTTACTTGGCCATAATATCCAAGGTCACCGATTCTGAGTAACGATTCTCCTCCTTAATCTAGTCAGGCCTGGTGTAGCTGTTCTGTCCATCCGAGGTACTTGGCGACGATCTTCGAGCACTTGCAAGGGGCCCTTGAAGATGTACGACCCGAGTTGGTCCTTTATGATGCTGGAGTCGAAGCTTAACTGACTGACAAAAACCGTTTTTGGTTGTTGTAGTGGTTCATCTACCATGCGACTTACGACTTACCGCGCTTTCTGGGGAAAGGAGTGGACCAGGCGAAAGGGCTTCGGAAGTCACCAGTCCCTTCACAAGTCTGCCACGGTCTGCCCAAATTGGATCATGCAGAAGCACCCAAACACAACATCCTCCCAGCCTCCCAGCCAGTGTTCTTTGCCCAAAGGCACCCGAACTTCAATGAACTTGTCCAGCTCCAAGGACATTCATGTGGAGGATGACTTGGGGAACTTGTGCATCTCCTGGAAGGGTCTGCGTCGCCGAGAGGAGATGGTCCTGGAACTTTGCACGGCCAAGGGAGTGCCGGTGGCCTTCGTGGCTCGAACCGGTAAATGCTGAAGGGCCGCAGGGTCATAGCCTAAATGCTGGTTAACCACCACAAGAAGAGGTTGGTTTGTGTTTGTGAACTTGGTTTTCTGCTTTTCAGCCACCAAGATGGGAGCATTTTGAGTAGCAACATAACAGCTTGCTGATGGTTTCAGTTTGTGTTGGCTCACAGTGCTGAGTGGTGAGTTTGGACTCCACTTGAAAACTATTTGGGTTTGAAAGCTGTTTGGACTCATTACCCTTGGGTTGGCAAGTCACCAATACCAATAGATCAGGCTGCACAGTCATGGACCTTTTGTCCCACTTCCCGAAGCTACCACCCAAAACCCACTAATGTGAGATTCGTCAGAGCAGAGGGCCTTCCTTTGCCATGCTCTTTTTTGGAGAGTGTATGTTTTTTTTGGGGGAGGGAGGGATATAGTATATATATATATAGTTTGCTTAGGTCCTTCGATGTGTTTCATAGTGCTTTCATTTGCAAGATGATTTTTAGACAGAAATGCAAGAAAAACATGTCTTTTCACGCCAAGAGCTTGGAGAAGGTCTAAAATTGTGGACCTCCTTTATTGTGGATCCCGGGCACTTGTAAGGGATACCCTTTGCAAGACTGAAGTGAAGCCGCTCACAAGAGTTTTTAGTAAAAAACCTATGACTTGGATGTTGGACGATTTTGAGTGTTTCCTTCATTTTGCTACAATCGACTTTCACTTCAGACATTTACAACAAATACAAATGTAAAGGAAAACATTCCAAAGTAAGCCGAAAGCTTTTGTGAGTATGACTGGGGAAGAATTTGCTGTATTGTTGTCTTGAGCTTTCTGGGTGGGATCGGGATCCTGAATTTCACAATAATATGGATCCTGACTCATGATTATTATCATTACTATGCTTCCAAACCCGCGATTTTGTAGCGCAATAGTTGTATAAACCCATTTAGATCTGATTTGTTTTTTTCTTTGTCTTTTTTGTGGCGAGCTTGTATGTTATTTTATAATACAGACCCTCTTCTTAATTACAAACTACACATTCAGCCTTCCTTCCTTAGACTCCGACCGCCGTGAGGTCATTGGCGGCGGCTACCACCGGAAGCGGCCGCATCTCACACGTCGCCACGCGGCGGTCTTCCACGCAGCGTCCGCCATTTGGAGGACGCGTGGCTGAGGAGCGAAGGACCGGACCTTGGACGGCTCCGAATTCAAACCATTGAGACCTACATGAAAACCCCTCATGAACATCGGCCCAAAGGAATAGGCCGTCACAACCACTGCATGCTGCATGGTAGCGTGTTTGTGCCGTTGCTGTTCAGGACCTGATCCAAGGAGGCACTGCTTTGCTTCGAGTATACCTCACAGAGGTTGGGTCCATGGTGTTTGATAAGTCAAAATCGTGAGCAACGAATTTCCATAGTGTGGCACATGTTTGCACAAGTGCTTGCTAGTGCGCTATGCCGCCAAGCATGTATCAGGCAATATTGGTGTCAAATGTATCCTCAGCTTGGTCCTCTTATACAAATGACGATCAGTTCACACTATAGTAGCGTGACGTTCGTCTCAAGTCCAGCCACTGCCCTTCAGTGGTCCATTTTTGACGCTATAGGTTGTCTTTCTTTTTTGCGTGATCCGTTCAGCAGATTTCCCAGAACCTTTGACAGCATTTATATAATCCAAAGGATTTTTTGTTCAGCTTCGGTGGCCTTTCTTGGTATGAGTATGCCTTATGTGAAACCCTATTGAGGAGCTGGGAGCTCTAACAGGCAGATGCTTATGTGGTACTAGAGGTCTAAGTGTGCATTTGATAGAAAACATGTTGTGAGAGCACATGGATCTGGCAAAGCCTATTATGGAGAACTTCAGGGTTAACAGTGTTCGCACCTGGCAAAAGCATTTTATAGAAGGAGCATTTGCGCAACATTTTATAGAAGCACATTTGAAGTTTTTGCTATTGAGATTTGGCTGTATCATTTTAGAGGCTTCACAGGTCAATCCCTCAAGTGACATGCTTGATCTGGCTTGGATTGTATGGAAACGCCGTGGCCAGTCATTTTACAATAGAGAGTTCTATTTCTCACCACCCATTCTCTAGACACCATTTCTCTATAGAATGCCGGGCGAGCGATCCCAGTGATAAAGCACGGAGGACTCAAATGTTATCCCAATCCCTGCATACCCTTGCAAGCTGACAAAAATTAAACGCATGAATTAATTCTGTCACAGAGCTCTTTAGCACTTTGTGGCGTTGAACTGCATATCCTCGGACAACCCGAGGCCCAAAACTGAACAAGTTTCCTCAATGTTCCATTGGCCCAAACTTTGCACTTTGCTTGAACTACGATGGCAAGACGTTTTGGTCGAGGCGTGGTGGTTTGAGACGTTGGCTTTTGCATTGCTTTTTCCCTGCTCTTTGTGTTCTTCCCTTGTTCAAGCGGGCGCTTCGGGCAGGACCTGAGAAAGCGGGCGCTTCGGGCAGGACGGACGCCACAGCCTCTGCGGAGGTCGAAACGACCGAAGCTTGGCGTGGAGGTGACCGTATAGCGGAGCTTGGGGGTGATTCGTTTGTGTATGTGCCATGGGGCGGCAGACCGTTTTAGGGACGTGTTGTAATTGTCTACTTGATTTAATTTATTATATACAGTATAACTATATACTAAAGTCCAAGGGTGTAGACATTCCACTGGACGTGTGTGGGACACAGCCTTTGCACCACAGAGGGACTTGTGAACTACCCATCCAAGGACTTGAGCACATCCAGCCTGGCTGTCAAGAGAATGCCCTACATTCAGAGGATCATCGGTAAATCGTGAATCCAAGGCAGTTCGTTCGTGGAGAACTGAGCAGAACTGCACGCCGCGTGCACCGCACAGATCTTTAAAAGAAACATGCAGTGCGCCATGTGCGAATCGTAGCAGCCGCCACAGGCTGGGTGCTTGGTATGAGACTGTATTTTTGTTCAGCTCCGATGGATCAGTGAGACGAGGATGGCTGGGGGCACCACTTAGTATCAACAGTGATCCCAACATATCTCAATTGATGAAGTTTGTGTGTGTCAGCTTTGCATCCACCAAAAGGAAAGAGCACCCCGACACACTTTCTGCATGTGAAGGATTTCTGGATGTTTAGAGCTGAAACATGCTGCTGTTGGTTGAGAAGTACATATATTCCTTTTACAGGTCCGCGTCCCTGGAACGGCTCTGCTCGCAACAAACGTTGTCGTTGTTGTCGTTGTTGTTGCCTTTATTGAAGGGGGGAGGGATGTGGTAAGAAGACAAAACTCAGGATAGCTGATCTTTTGGATATGCCCATCCAGCAAAAATGATGGCTTGGATCTAAAGGCCTGTAGCATAGATGCCGGGAATGCCACAGCCTCTGCAGGTGCCAGGTTGGTTTTCCAAACCCCCCTTTCAACTCCCAGCACCCCGCTTCACAAGTCACTATATACAGTGACCTAATACTATTATATAGTTCCATTGACCTAATACTATATGCAGTGACCTAATACTATTTAAGTCACTAATACTAATACTATTATACTTAAGTTACATCGTGTGACCTAACAACCTTCCATTTCGGAGAGTCGAGCGAGCCACCGGTCGCCACCCGAGCCGACACAGTTTCCATGGCAGGTGGCCATTGCACCGGCCATCAGGCGGGAATAAGCAGGATTTGGCTCATTGAAATGGTGTATGGGCACGTTGTATGTATTTGCACTCGTTATCCAACTCGCAGTCCAGGCCTGATAAGGCTTGAGCCCGCCACTTAGGGGTGTCCAATGGTGTCCATAACCTGGTAGTGAACAGGATATGGGTTACAGTTTACAGCATGTCTTAGCCTTTCAGACCTCCGACTATTCCCGAGACCGGGACTGGTTCCGTACACCCTCACTTCAGCAATTCTTTTTCTCGGTGCTCAGGGCTTCCACCCGCCCAAGCTAAGACTATATAGATCATGCACACTGCCAGAGCCTGGCTTTGGCCATAAAAGCCTTTAAAAAGTCAGCTGTTTTGATGCTTCTTTTCGAGATGTGTAGACGACATGAAGCTCTGGGGTGTTGGGGAAACCACTGAACCTGCGGGAGGTCTCGCACGAGACCCGAGGTCTCGTCGTTCGAACCCGAGGTCGACCAGAGATCGGTGTGGTTTGTAGGTGATTTGCGGGTCATGAGTGACTATATTCTATGGCGTCAATGTCCAGAGACTTGGAGATTGCCTCAGAAGTCTCGGTGCATTCATCCAGGTCACTTTTGTGCATATTTGTTTGGAGATGTGGAAATAGGGACCTCGTTTGTGCATGTGAAGGCAGTGGCTCGGGGTGACGTCTTTGCATGTTTGAATGTTTCTATTTTTGTTTGAATGTGTTTATTCTTGCTTTTCGAACATCAACCACGTCGGTCAATTCTGAGGGTTTTTGTGGGATCGTCAGGGCGGGGAGGAATTGATTCACACACCCCAAACATGGATGGATGGGATGGGCCGAGCGCGCCGTGACGGGCCGACGGGTTGGGTTAGTCAGCTGCGCCTGCGCCGCACAGACTCATTCTTCGGCTGCCGGACGGCGCCTCTTTGATCGGAGACCTTGTGCCACACTTGGACGTCGTTCTTTTCAGCGCGGGGGGTGGGCATGTCTTGAGTGCTGACAACCACAAGGTAGCCACCTGGAAGTGGATCATCTAGAGCTTAAGGAAGGCGGCTTGGGAATACAAGTCTGGTTTGGGCGTGCTATCATGTGCAATCAGGATTTCCCGAAGGCTAGCAGCTAGCGGCTAGGAATCAAGCGGTGGTCCTCTTCCAATGCGATGCGAGAAACATCCAGGCCAGGATGCATTCACCAAAGCTGGCTCTTTGTCACAAGGGACAGCTCTCATTCGGGGAAGAAACTTTGGGCAGTCCTGGGTGAACATTGCATGACATATTCTAGCTGCTTGATGATGATTATCTATCAATCTATCTATAATCTAACAATATCTAACATCTACAAATAGTTACATGTTTTTGCCTTGGATTTGCAGACATTGATCAATCTATTAATCTAGTTATATCTACCTTTTGGATCTACAGGAACACTTCTTCGACCAGCTCAATTGGCTAATTGCTGGCCGCCACTGGAACAACCGATGTTTAAGGCCACAACCGATGTGTTGTTGTGGGAAAGACTGCATCTAGTCTTCCAATAGAAGCGGAAAAAGATGTCCAGAGCAAGCTGAAGCACTTGGTCAGCTGTGCATGCTGTTTGGGTGGATTTGGGGTGACGAACTGTCCGTTCGGATCTACCGCCGTGCATTGCTGCCGCTCGGTCTCCGGACTCCATGTGTCCGCTCGACACTGAGCCAGTCGACACTGGGGGAACAAAGACAGGTTCTGCAGATGTCACAGGTCTTGCACCCCTGAATCCTGACCACAGGTAGCACCACAAGTTCTGTATTTGGGGATGGCACAACCTCAAAAAGTTGGGCCGAAGGAACTTAGTTGGCCCGAAGGAACTGAGGAGGGGAAATTCCTGAGTCACCATGTCATCCCAATACGCGGGCAATGTGAACGTGTAGGGAGTGGCCTTGGGGCTGCATAGCAGTCCATTTTTGTAGCATGTCACAGCATGTCCGTGGTGAAGTGCCTGCGCCATCTTCTGTTCGGACTTGTGCCTGCAAACTCTTCACAACCCTCAACATTATGCAACATTATCCAGAACTGGTGTGACAAAGGCACGTGCAACATGCGCATGAGTAGCTATAGTGACTACTGGTTGGGAGGCGGCAGTACTTTCAGAGGCTCAGGGTCAACCACATCTCTTTCTGTCCCATCGTGAAAGTCAGACGTTGCGGGCTCAGGTGACCCTGGTAGCTGGTAATTCCGCATTCTGGAGGGCCCGGAATCCTCAAAATCAACTCTTGATGCAAGCATTAATCATTATTTTCCCCCAAAACACAGCAGTTTTAGATGCACAACGCCTACACGGAATGACTCTCCATGGCGCTACGCATGGCGGTACCGTACGCCCCGAGTCGGAAGTGCTTTGCCTTGCGGGGCTTCAGAGCCTGGGGCGTCGACAGGCCGTCTGTGGCGTGTGGAGCAGGGTTTGTCTCTTGGGGACATGGATTGACCAAAGTGGCCAGTTGAAGTTTAGGACTTCGGGAGGTTTTGGAAGAACCGAGAAGCTGACAAAGCATTCTATCAACTCTATAGCTCTTTGCTGATGAACCTTGCTCAGGTCCAGGTGACCATTCCTTGCCTCCCTCTACGACTCTACGTGTTTGCACCAATCTCTAGAAATCCTCCTCAATCGAGATACGTCAGGGAAGAAGAACATCGCGTAACGAACGGGCAGCGCACACGTTGCGTGGCGCGTACGAACCGCCTCCACCTTCCGACGTCCGACCATTTAAGGGCGAAGCGGCGAAGCTAAGGGATAGACTCCCACTTCCATGTTAGATCCAGGGACAGTAATGTAGACTCTTGATCAATAAAACCCCCCTCAATTGAATTGGGTTTTATTAATCAAGAGTCTACATAACTTGGGAAGGTTGAGGCTTTCCAGTTGCCTTTCGGAAGGCATCTATCGATCTGGAACGTTTTGCCTTTCCGACCTCAGAAAAGGCACCAGGAGTCACGGCCAAATTTGCTTTCAGAGAACCCCCAAAATCCCCAAAGTCACACCACCAGGTATCCTCCCTTTTCACTGGCATGATTTTCCCAGGTGGGCTCAGGGCTCGCCAGGCTTTTGGGCTCACGGCGGCGAGATCTCCGCGCCCGAAGCGGAATGGGTGGCGCCACAGTGACATGGCTGGAGTGGGTTAGTGGATGTGGAGCTGAACTTCCATGGAACTTGATGAATTTGGGTATGACAAGTAGAACTTCTAGGGGCGACAGTTGGGTGAAAAAATATTGCTGACAATGTCCAAACGATGAGCATTACAAAGTTGAAAGCAACCTTGGAAACGGGATGTGTCTCTAGAGAATACTAAGTTTGGTGGCCTCATCGACCACCCAAAGTCTATCCGGACATAGGACTTGTATGACTACAGCTTTCAAAGCCAACAGGATTCTGTGGTCCTTTCTTCTCCTTTCCTGCCATAGCAGTTTCTCTTAGCTGTCATGAAGCACTCCCAATTCAATCGCAAAGTGGTTCTTCTACTCCCTTGGCTGCAGCTCATGGCGTTTTTGTCCGGTGAGGTACTGGAAACGTCCGGATGTGCCCAGCTGTCCAATTGATGCCCGCATACTAAAATCCATCAGATCATGCGCGTTCTAAACGCACACAGGCAACACTCGTGGTAGAACAAAACACAAAACATCAACTTTTGCAGATGTATCTCATGCATGCTCACCGCACGAAAAGAAGGGCTTCAAGAAAAGCTGGAGAACAAGATGAACAAGGCACTACTCTATATGAACACTTGGAAAACACCTCCGTGTCCATATCACATGCACTTGATGCATTTTCTTCACCACCGCCATGTCGGTGGCCACCATCTTGGGTGCCGCCAACCTTTTCGCTCGGCTGGAGCTTCCGGTGGAGCGCGTGGAGGTGTGATCACGGGGTCCGGATTGCTTTACAGAGCCCAGGTGTTCTTCAAAGGGTAACCGACCACTAGAGACAGAAAGTCCCAGCCAGTAGTAGCTTGATGTAGTTTGCAGCTTCACCTCGCCGAACCTGCAGTACGAACAACATGATATGGCAGACTCAACTCCGGAATGGCATTTCACAACAGTTCAAGTAACATATATATATATATATATATGTTTTATATTTGTTATATTGACCAGATTTGTTGTCGGCACACATTTTGATCATCAGATGTTCCCGCACGGCATGGATTTGAAGCCGTTGGCACCGGCCTATGTTCTCCTTTCTACGGTCACCCGACTCGGACCGTGCAGGTGGCGACCGTGCGGAGCCAGTATCGGCGCTTGGCCCTGGCGGTGCATCCAGACAAGTGTCAGGACGGTGAAGGTGAGGTTTTGACCATGAAAAGTCCGGTGGAACCAGAGCATCCTGTAGAAAAAGGAATATATTGTGTTTATATCAATCATACACACACACACACATATATATATATATAAATACAAAGTGTCTAATTCCTCAAATCCGAGGTGTTTGTTTCTCACGATCCCTGTCCCGTTTATCGCCAGGATCCCCGCGCCAAGGAGGTAGCCAGGATTTGGTTGGCAAATGTTGGCAAGTGATTTGTTTGTCCATGTGTTTGTCATTTTTTAGGGTGATCCAGTGGTTTCATTCAGTGGTTGAACCCAGAAAAGGTCCTTTCGCCCCAACTGCTCAGGCCTTCCAACTGCTCAGCGAGGCCTTTGAACAGCTCTCCTCTGAGACACTTCAGGCCCAGCTGCTGGGTGCAACTGGACGCGCTCGTCCGGCTCCGCAGGGGCGCGGTCCGGCCCAGGCACGGGTGAAGCATTTCGGTGGGACAGGGGACAGGGGCATGGAGGGTTGTAAGGCTGACCCTTAACACACACGTGGGATGATGGATGGTGAGTACCGCTGCACTGGTGAGCACACTGCGCTGAGACATGGAGTCGCTTTTGAAAGGTTTTTTTTTTCATTGAGATTCTTCATCAAAAAGTGCCTTGGAAAGAGTTGACTACTTCTATTGGCCCTGTCTATGGCAAGTCTCCAGGCAGATGAGACAAAGGCTCACTGGTGGGATACGTGCCTTGGCTGTTGAGACCCTCAGGACCCTCAGCCATTTACAGCTTTGACAGGCTTCATTGACAACCCACACCCCAAGAAAAAGAAAAACACTGGATCCAGAACACCAGTCCATCCATTTGACCTCTGACTGGTCGACTTCGACATGGTGAAGCCATTCTTTTCAGGAAGACCTGGGAGGAGTTTGAGGAGCGTTTGAGGCATCGCGACCGTGCCGAGCAAGCCCTGCGGCGCCAGTACTGTGGAGGACTCCGGGCACGTTTCGCCACTCGCAAGGCGCGGGTCCGCGCCACGGAGTCCGTCACATCTGGTGTGTGGAGTCCGTCACAGATGGCGCAGCGCCATCGATGTGTTCCAACCCTGCAGCTCACCTGGAATGGAGTGTTTGACGGAGTGGAACATGCTCCTACTCCTACATATAAGAATTGAGGAGCAGTTTGAGGAGCGCTCTGCTTGAAACTGCGGCCGAAAGCTGTTTGAGGTGGGTCATTTAATTTTCAAGGATTCTGATAGACCATTTGACTAAAGTATCTTTGGGACCTGCCAAATGTCCTCCAACGCAGTAGTTTGTGTCTTTGTTTGGCCAGCAGGTTACATACCAAAAAGCACCCGTTTGCCCAGGTGCTCCCGTAGATTTGGGCCGGGATGAATGTCTATTAAGGCAGGTGCTCCCCTAAAGGATGCGGCTTTCCGATTTCGGGTCTTGAAGTCTTTTCAGCCCGGCAACGGTTGCCTAACCGCACCTCGGCGCCGACCCGAAACACCGACCAGCGACCGGGAGGTCCGAGGCCAGGTCTTTGCCGCGGAGCGCTCCGTGGAGCACCTGGACCGGCAGCGCCTCGGCGGTCTGAGGTGCTCGGCCGAGCTCCATTTGGGAGGTCTGGTCGACCACGTGGTGGGGTCCTTGTGTAGCGGATGCACCATGAGGTTAAGGTATAGGCCTTGAATGATTGGGAGTTCAGTGGGGTTTGGAACGCCTCCTTCAGCAACTTCATGTGGAAACTCCCGAAGTCTTCCGAACCCTTCACATCTGAAGAATTGAGACTCTCAACGGCAGCCTCGGCCGTTCAGGAAGGGTCTGCCGGAGAGCCCCCTGTGGCCGCCCGAGTCTTGGGTTGATCGTCCAGTTGGAGAGAGGGAGAGGCGGCCGTGTTAGCCCCAAAAAGGACAGTGACAGGTGCATGCGTTGTTTTATTTTTCTGGAATGGCGCTTAAGTAATTTCCCAGTGGAAATGCGCTAGAGGAGTCTAGGAAATCTAAACAAGGAGTCGAGATTTACATATTGTTTAGGAGACCTTCAGCATGGCCTGATGGTTTTCAAGAGGAGACCTGCCCCCAACAAACTGTTGCTCCTTTTGTCCAGAATCACGGGGGATCTATGTGTTTGACTCACCATGACTGACCTTTCTTTTGCATCTATGGTGGCGAATCGTGCAGTGGTTGGGCGGCTTTAGACCATCAGTTCCTTCACCCTTACGTGCGTGCGTTCCTTCGTGGGAGGCGTTCCTTTTTCCGTGTGGAGGAACGCGGTGGAGCTCAAGTAGCCAACAAAAACAGCCGAGGAATCCACCCAAGCAGCCCGGGATTTGGAGGAGGAAGTGGCCAAAGCGCGACAGACCGAACCATGGCCAGGCCATGTCCGCGCAGAGAGTGTGGGTGTGGTTGGTTCAACAAGGGTTACCAATCGGGCAGGCATGAAAGAGAAGAGACTATTTGACTTCAGGCTTCAGGATACTGTCCCAAGCGTATTATGATCCCGTTCCATGCTTTTGGGATGTGAGTCTCGGTGTGAGGAGGCCTTGTCTTTTGTTGTTTAATGGTTTTATGGTCAATGGTGAAAGTTGGTCGCCATGCTTACCAAGCAGCAATTTGTCCGACAATGTATCTTTCTTGGGTAGTTGGATGAATCCAACATAAAATTAGCTTAACGAAGATCGCAAAATTGTTTGAGAGGTTTTTGTACATGCAGCGGTTCAACTCTTAGTGTTTGTGCGCGTTGCTTCTGCGGGGTATGTCCTGTTGTACATGTCGATGGCGCATGGCTCGCTCCGCACGCAGGGGCCGCCAACGAGCTGCTGCCGGACTATCAGGAGCCCGTCGTGGTTCGACCTGAGACGGTCTGTGTCGGTGGCGACGAACGTGTCGATGCTGATCGGACAGTGGGTCGAAGCCTGGTCGGACAGGGTTCCGAGAGATCGACACACGTTTGTGATGTGCCTCAAGCCTTGAAGACTATACACTCTTAAATATATAAAAATATAGTTGTTTATGTGGTGATTTGTGTTGAATGGGTCTCAGGATGTATCATCGTGAAAATGGCTGCCATCCTTTTAGCCACAGGAGCGCCTGGAATTGAACAATCCTGGCTTGGCCATTCAACGCCTCCTGGAGCTAATGACTCACTTGCGCACGGTGCATCTCTACTGCTCTTGAGATTGCATTTAGGTGGCGTTGCATTCTCTTTGTGTTTTGGCGGTAGACGTTTCGGATCACAACCATGAAGTTGCAAATGTAAGCTTTGTCCCTTGTGTTTGTGTGTGTGTTTTGCTGTTGGGCTGCTTCTGCACGGACTTTGTGCCAGAGGGAGATGTGCAAATGTATACCTTCATTCCGAAGCAAAACCTTGTCTTATATTATCTATTATACATTCTAGTCTATTGCGTTTCTCTTGCACCGCAACACCTGACGGCCGGCCACACTCCTTAGACATCTCTGGGCCATGTCCTCCTTCTCTCCGATGCAACCCTTTCTCCCATGCTGCCCGCCACGATCGCCTGCCACTGCTACGAGAGTGAGCTCTCAGCCCATACAATAAAATGTTGAAGTCATGGTGATGTTCTATTTTTGAAGCGTTTCCATTGGGGTTTGAATGTATGCAAGTCGTGGCGATCGATGTCGCGTTTGGTTGGGGAGAAGGCAAGGCAGAAGCGGCAAACAAAACGCCGATCAAGCAAAACGCCGATCGCACAGGCAAACAAGTGGGGAGGCAGCAGACAAGCGGGGAGGAAAGAAAGAAACAAGAAAGAAAAGGGGTGTGCGCATATACTTGATGAGGTAACTAGAGGTTTTCATTCTGAGGGCTTTCCTTGCTGGCGCGGGTTCTGACCTCGTTCGCCCTCTCGTTCACCTTCGTTCCGATACCTCTTTGCAACTTGTGTGATTCAAGTAAAGTGCCCAGAGCCTGGTCCAAAGAGATGTCAAGGGACCACAAGGAGATTATCATTGCTACAATAATTAAGTCATTGCGCTTCCATGTCAGAAGCTTGTTGTGAATGTATGACAATTGTGCTTCGGAAGGTGTGTCAGAACACATAAAAAGCATTGCCAGGTCATTGCGTTTCCATGCGGACAACTGGTTTTTGCAAGGACTATGCCGGGACCCCACTCCTGGCGTCGCGTTTCCACTACTTTTCAAAAAACTTCAACTGACTAAGGCGTGTTTTGGAAACGAATCGTCGAATCAAATCTCACCCCACCCAGTCGTTTGGTCGTTCCTTTCAGGGGCATCAACGCCATGGGGGCAGTGTCCACACCTCAACGCCACACGAGGCCTGTTTTGCGGGTGCACTTACGACTCCGCCAATGACATGGACCGGAACTGCCCAGGCATCACTGAGGAGGAGCACGACGAGGCGTGGTGGTGCTGGTCACGGCCGCCATTGGGTCTCCATAAAAGGGAGAGAAAGACAAACTGTTTTGGTGTGGTTTTGTTGGTCGTGTTGCTGGGAACAAAAACTCATGAAATCTGTCGGTCACTGCTGGCCGTGGTAGATGAACATCCTGAAAGAGCATTCTCTTCATACCATGTCTCTTTTGGTGACTTAGCCTTCTTCGGGGGGAGGTAAAGGTATATCAACAGGCCCCGAACTCGTGGTCTGGTAAGCTTTGTGGAGTGCATCTGGTCCCCCCAAAAGAAACTGCCAGACCGCGCTAAACATTGCAAATCAGTCAAGTGCCGGAGCACTGAGCATAGTATACACATGACTTCCATACCGCGAGAGTCCAGAGTATAGCATCGGCTTTGTAAAACCCACAACCAGGTACAGAGCTTGGTGTTGGTCCACAACAGAATGAACAATTCAATAATATTCAAGCAACAACTAGAACACCAACCTCCAACAATACTCATTATATATAAAATCTCTACTTCCGCCATCTTCCGCCCCAACAACATTCTAAGCTCCACCCATCTCCAGCATGCCCACGTTCCAACCGAGGCTATGGCCTTCGGCCTGCGGACTTCCACAGAGACACAGGTGGAAACCGCCGAGGAGACCACCGGTGACTTGGTTTACACTGCTGCCTGAAAACCGCTGGTTTGTAGCGGAAAACTGGAGGAATACAGTGTTTGAGAGTGCCATTCGACCCGGGTCCATGTTAGTCTTGGGGAGTGTATGATGGTTTGGAGACTTTTGAGGTGGATGTATCGCAACCCAACTTTGCCTTTGGTCTTACAGGCCCTTGGGTGATTTTCATGGACGCCCCAATCACCTCCTTTTTTCGGGGCTATGAATCGAGACCTCTTACCCCAACAAATTGATAGGTGGATGTGTGCTCGAACATTTGGCCATGCCACTCATTGGGCGGTTTGAGCAAATGAGACTTTGAGCCCAGCGAGCCCCGACCAGTTCCTGGGACTCCAGTCCGACCAGTTTGAGCAAATGGCAGCGTCCACATGCGGGTACGAGGGGTGCGGCACAAGAAGGTCTGCGGGGTGCGGCACAAGAAGGGCACGTCAACTTGGAGGCCCTTGAAGAGTTTGTTCCTGTGCTAGGGTTTCAGGTGGAACCGGACCCTGTGGAGTGCGGGAATCGATCCGGAAGAGAGATCCAGAAGATCCAAAAGCGTTGCGAGCCTCCACACTGCACATTGGTCCTGTCGAAGGTCTTGACGCAGGTTCTTGCGATTTCGTTAGGAGAGCTGGTGGATTCGCTGGCGAACGACGATTCATGACGATTCACCGAAAGCAGATCCTCACAGTAGAGGATTTGGAGAGTCTTTGTCTCTAGCAGACATGAAACACAAGGTAAGCGAGTCATTTCCCCTGTGCAAGTTGGTTTCACACCATAACCCTACCAATCTGATACGTATAGTACTAATTAAGGTGAACAAAAGCCCCAAGCCATGTGGAGCCTATCAATCCATAGGGCCCTGTTTTTGAACGTCAATTATATAATTAATCAAAACAAATTTGGTACAGTAATGTACAGTATGCATTCGACATGTTTCAACGCTGCGCATCTTGAACCCCATAGCTCTAGTTACTAGTTGGTTCCCTTCCAGGGATTATCCTTCTCATTCGGAAGAGGAGGTTTGGCTGTATTTGTCTAGACATCAGCTATCAACGAGAGCCGTTGGGTGGATGGGCGTAGGTTGCTTGGAGCAGTGCAAACCACGAGCAGATGGGCAGGCATTCCCCACAGTGATGAGTGATGATGCACATGAAGAAGGCACATGCATAATCGTACAATCGTAAGAGTAACAACAAATAAAAACTATATATATATATATTGTGCACACACCAAAAAGATGCGAAGATGCAACACACACGCACTCTGACACTTGTATTCAGTGAACTCAATTCCCAGGTCGAAAATG